TTGAATCGAATAAGCTCATATAAACATACAATGCATATGGTTATTTTTACTTTCAATATTCAATAAGAAAGATTCTTTGATAATGATTTCTTCATCATAGATTCAAGAGTGCAAGGGTGCTTCTAATTCTAATTTCCTTCACGACTCACTTGATGTATCTTTGCAGAGTGAGGTACATACTATATGTGTTTTGCAGATCGACCGACTGTCATTGTAATAAGCTATTCTTCATCATAGTATTAGTTCTGGGGTTGGTCAAGATTGAGATCTCGAAAATTCTAAGGAAGATTAAGGTACCGTTTATTAAATTCTTTACTTGGGAGTTGTATTAGTGAAGATTCGACTTATCATTGGTAGATAAGATAGATCATGCACCTTAAATGTTAGGCCTTGCAAGTTTCTTCCATAGAAGCAGAGTGCTTCCCTTTTACCTATTGTGGAATCTAATAATAAGTCTTGACCTTCAGCAATTTATGACTTATCCTCATGATCTCAGATTGAAGCATCTTTTATCATCAATTTAACAGTGTATGGTAACATAAAACTAGTCAAAGAGAGTGCTGCCCCTCTTATTTTTCTGTCTTGATCAAAGTTTGATGGGTTATGAGGAATAAATTAGTGTTTGTAGGTAAAAACATGGATTGCTAAAACTTGATTCCTTCACTAGATTAAAGCTTGATAAGGGGGTTGTTTTGTATGAGCCATTGTGTAGTTATCCTAGAGATTCTTCATCTGTTGTCTGATTTCAGGATGAACATTCTACTTTCAAGGTTTTATGAAATTCAATGCAGATAAGTCCGTTTTGTTGTCGGGTCCTCTCGGTATAATGGATACAACTACTGTTCCTGCTCCGATCGAGCACCGAAGGACAGCTTGTATGAGAACCTGATGAGCCCTGCTTCGAGCTCAGAAGAAGATGATACATTCTATAATTAGTCCCTATTTGAATTTGTTTTCTATTTATTTTCCTCTCCACCATCTACCCCTCATAAGATTGATAAGTCCACCATCTGAGAACCTGAGAACCTGATAAGTCCGTTTTGTTGTCGGGTCCTCTCGGTATAATTTGATAGCTTGCGTGAAATGAATTAGTGTTTGAAGGTAAAAACATAGATTGATACAAATTCATCCCTTCAGTGGATTAGTGTCAGTGGATTAGTGCTATTGATGATGGGTTGTTCTATAAGTAATCCTCTAAATTGTAATAAAAATTTATAGTAATTGTTTACATGTCACTTCTTAGAGAGAGAAAAGAGTTTGGATATTAATTCAATTATAATTTATTATATCATAAATTTAAAATATGAATTATAACTATTCAATGATTTTTTATCCAATTTAGTCCCTATTTGAATTTGTTTTCTATTTATTTTCCTCTCCACCATCTACCCCTCATAAGTTGCATGTCAAACCTATGCAACTTCTTAAATGTATGTTTAAAGAGGGATTAAGTTGGTGTGATTTTAAAATATCAAGATTAATTTTTTTAGAATTAGGATCCATTTGATAGAATATGTAAGTTTTGTGGACTAAAGTGATCTGGACCGTTGGATGGGCATAGATCTAAGGGTTGTAGTTGAGTGGCACTGAAAATCTACCAGAAACCCTAATGTATTTAGGGTTTCGGTAAATTGGGTTGGGTCAAATCTAGGCTCCGGGTCTTGTAATTGGGTTGAGTCCGATGGGTCCCAGGTTTTGTTGTTGGGTTGGGTTCTGTATCTGGGTTGTGTCTTGTAACTGGGTTGAATCCTGTAATTGGGTTGGGCTTCAGGTTCTTGTAACATGGCCTGCAAAAATATAAATTAAAATTTTAATAATAATAATAATTAAAAAAATATATTAAAAAAACCCGGACAAAAATGGGTGTCTACAAATATATTAAAGTATAACCCTCATTATACTTGTTATTACTTCAAAATTTTAAAAATTTATATAAATAATTTTATTTTTAATAACATATTCTCCTTTTCTCTTTCATAATAGTATTTATTTTCTTGAGGATTATTATTGTAGAATATTGTCGAGGAAGTACAAAATTTCATGAAAGATCAAGGCGATTCTTCAACTTCTAACCTCGAATGACTTGAATCGAATAAGCTCATATAAACATACAATGCATATGGTTATTTTTACTTTCAATAAGAAAGGTTCTTTGATAATGCTTTTTTCATCATAGGTTCAAAAGTGCAAGGGTACTTCTGATTCTAATTTCCTTATTGACTCACTCGATGTATCTTTGCGGAGTGAGGTACATATTATATGTGTTTTGCAGATTGACTGACTGTCATTGTAATAAGCTCTTCTTCATCATAGTATTAGTGCTGGGGTTGGTCAAGATTGAGGATCTCGAAAATTCTAAGGAAGATTAAGGTACCCTTATCAAATTCTGTCTTTGGGAGTTGTATTAGTGAAGATTCGACTTATCATCGGTACATAAGATATTTCATACACCTTCATTTTGGTCTCAAATGTTCTAGGCCTTACAAGTTTCTTCCATAGAAGCAGAATGCCTCACTTTTACCTATTGTGGAATCTAATTATAAGTCTTTGACCTTCTGCAATTTAAGAGTTTATATATGAATCGCTTGATTTTTTTGCTCATGATCTCATATTGAAACATCTCTTTCATCAATGTAACAGTGTATGGAAGCATAAAATTAGTGAAAGAGAGTGCTGCACCTCTTAGTTTTCTGTGATGATCTCTGATACAATACTCTACGTACTAGTTGCGTCCACTTTATTACTTGGTAGACGATAATATATGCTTGCACTTTATTGCTACATTACTCGAATCATCAATAACCTCATAACAAGCTGGTTTGTATTTCAAGGCAAAATGTAACTTTCCGCTGTTAATGGGTCCTAATAACGGGCATGTAACCATTTTTGCAAGATCATATATGCTTTTTTGCTATACTACTTATAATTTTATTACTTTTCCCGCAGGAATAATGACCGATGATTCGTGTATGATAGTTCAGGGCTCTGTCGGCTGTTAATGCTGTTTTTTTGCAACACCCGTTTCTGCAATATATATATATATATATATATATATGGGGATAAAGCATGGTTGGTTGTATTGACTTTGCCTTGGATTTGTAGGATTGATCATGAAAGTTCAAGTTTATCCATAAAGATCTCAATAACAGAGATGAGAGACACAAATGTGTTCAAATTGTTTGTAATGAATTAATTGATGAAGACCCGGGGGACATGATTTGAATGTGTTCAAATTTGTTTTCTATTTCTTTTCCTCTCCACCATCTACCCCTCATAATTTGCATGTCAAACCTATGCAACTTCTTAATTGTGTGTTTAAAGAGGGATTAAGTTGGTGTGATTTTAAAATATCAAGAGTAATCTTTTTGGAATTAGGATTAATTTGATAGAATGTGTAAGTTTTGTGGACTAAAGTTGTTATTATACCAATATAAAATCACCGGTTCTATTTAGTCAACGGTTATATCTATCGGTGGATGATCAAAACAAAAACAAAACATAACGTTTGGTATGATTTTGTAAAAAAAATTGATAGTTGGGTGACTAAAACATAAACGAGGTAATAAGTGGGTGACTAATTGTGTAGTTTATATGTATTCATATAAAACAAGGTTGATTGCAATGGTTTTTCGTTATAAAGGCCAAAATAGAGATGAGAGACACAAATGGGATCAACTTGTTTGTAATGAATTAATGATGAAGACCCCACCATATGGAAGACAAAGACTAATCGACGAGGAGACCATTATTTAAATAAACATGGACCCCCTGTCTGGCTCTGTTAGTTGGACGACCAAGACTTGTTGTTTGTAAACAAATTATTAAATGTGTGTTTAAAGAGGGATTAAATTGGTGTGATTTTAAAATTTCAAGAGTAATCTTTTCAGAATTAGGATCAATTTGATAGAATGTGTAAGTTTTGTGGACTAAAATTGTTATTATACCAATGCGACATCACCAGTTCTGTTTAATCAACATATAAATCTATCAACGGAGGATCAAAACAGAAACAAAACATAATGTTTGATATGATTTTGTAAATCCTTGTTTTGTATGATAAAAAAAACTAACATAACGTTTGGTATGATTTTGAAAAAAATGATAGTTGAGTGACTAAAACATAAATGAGGTAATAAGTGGGTGACTAATTGTGTAGTTTATATATATCATATAAAATGGTTGATTGCAATGTTTTTGAATTGGATTGGTAGGGCTGCTCATGAAGGTTCAAGTTTATCCATAAAGACCAAAATAATAGAGAGGAGAGACACAAATGGGATCAACTTGTTTGTAATGAATTAATGATGAAGACCCCACCATATGGAAGACAAAGACTAATCGACGAGGGGACCATTATTTAAATAAACATGGACCCCCTGTCAGGCTCTGTTAGTTGGACGACCAAGACTTGCTGTTTGTAAACAAATTATTAAATGTGTGTTTAAAGAGAGACTAAATTCGCGTGATTTTAAAATTTTAAGAGTTATTTTTTCAGAATTAGGATCAATTTGATAAAATGTGTAAGTTTTGTGGACTAAAATTGTTATTATACCAATGCGACATCACCAGTTCTGTTTAATCAACATATAAATCTATCAACGGAGGATCAAAACAGAAACAAAATATAACGTTTGATATGATTTTGTAAAAAAAAATGGTTGAATGACCAAAACATAAACGAGGTAATAAGTGGGTGACTAATTGTGCAGTTTATTTATTCAGATAAAACAAGTTGATTGCAATGGTTTTGCGTTAGATTGGTAGGTCTGTTCATGAAGGTTCAAGTTTATCCATAAAGACCAAAATAATAGAGAGGAGAGATACAAATGGGATCAACTTGTTTGTAATGAATTAATTGATGAAGACCCCACCCTATAGAAGACAAAGACTAATCCACAAGGGGACCATTATTTAAATAAATGTGGACCCCTCTGTCTGGCTCTGTTAGTTGGACGACCAAGACTTGCTGTTTGTAAACAAATTATTGGAGGCATAATTGAAGTAATCATGTTGATGCAAGTGTAGAAGAAATATCACTTTCCAATTTCATTGCTCTCTGTTTGCAATTTCACTTTGTTTTGTTTGTTGGGATAACAAGAAATCAATCTTAACTAAAGGAGGAGGTATGCTTTCTTCAACTCACTGCTGATTCCCTATAGTTTTTTTTTCATCTTTGATTATGATTATGCTATTTGTTTCCTTCTTCAATATGTTGTTTCTTCTGCAGCGAGTGTTCTTATCCTGAGGGTTTGCTTCGCAGTTGTTCTATAGTTTGTTCTGCTTCTTAGCAAATTTTCAAGGGAAAAAATGGATTGTCTTTTTGCCTTTGTGGGATCTCTTGCTGGCAAAGCTGTTGAGTACGCTGTCGAGCCCACTGCACGACAACTTAGTTACTTAGTCAAGCCCAGGAGCAAGTTTCAGAACCTCCGGGGAAAAGTTAAAGACCTAAAGGAGGCAAGACAAAGGATGCAACAATCTGTTGAAGAGGCTAACAGGAAGGGGGAGGTGATTTTTGACGACGTTCAAAGTTGGTTGGAAGCGGTGAATGAGAAGATCTCCAAGCTGGATTCAACGCAGACAGAGGCCAATGAGAAGATCTCCAAGCTGGAAGCAACGCAGACAAAGGCCAATGAGAAGATCTCCGAGGATGCTGCAACACAATTGCAAAAGGATGAAGAGAATGCAACCAAGTGTTTCGTGGGCTTTTGCCCTAATTTCAAGTCTCGTTATCAACTTAGCAGGAAAGCGGACAAGGAGGCCAGCGACATAACTCAACTCCTGGCTAAAAAGGAAGCATTTAAGGAGGTTTCCTACCGTCCTGCAATTGAAGCGATAGACACTATCAGACCTGACGAATTGTACGAGGCCTTCGAATCAAGAAGCGGTGCTTTCGATGAGGTCATGACTGCATTGGAAGATGATAGAGTCAGCATAATCGGAGTGTACGGTATGGGGGGTGTGGGTAAAACCACACTCGTCAAAGAGGTCGCCGGACGAGCCAAGGTGAAACTGTCGTTCGATGAGGTGGTGTTGGTTACAATAAAACAAGAACCAAACGAGATGAATATCCAGAAGGAGATTGCTGAGAAGCTAGGCATGACAATCAGCGAGAAAAACATAGATAAGAGAGCCGCTCGACTTCGTGCAAGACTAGAGAAGGTGAACAGGGTTCTTGTTATTTTGGACGATATTTGGGACTTCCTGGATATCAGGGAACTCGGAATTCCTTCAGCAGTCCAACACAAGGGATGCAAGATCTTAATAACTTCAAGGAAGCTAGTTGTATTGAAGTTGATGGGTTCTCAAAAAAGCCTTCCAATTGATGTGCTGAAAGAAGACGAAGCATGGAATCTGTTTATGAACGTGGCTGCTCCTATTGCTGAAAGATCTGATGTGCAATCTACAGCAATGAAAGTCGCCCAAAAATGTGCAGGATTGCCGCTCGCTATTACAACAGTTGCAAAGGCTTTGAAACATAAGGAGAATTTGTATGAATGGGAGGATGCTCTGGAGCGGCTAAAACCCTCTGAAATAAACTACAGGGGGATATCTGGTGCTGTGTATTCAGCTCTAGAGATGAGCTATACATACTTGGAATCGGAAGAACATAAATACACATTCTTGCTCTGCAGTATAATGGGCCATGATGCTGTCATCGAAGACTTGCTGAAATATTGTAGAGGCTTAAGCAATGATTCAAGCAACAAAAAAAAATATATTGTAGCGGCTTGCGTTTATTTCATGGCCTTGACACGATGGAAAAAGTGCGGAACAGAGTGTTGACACTGGTTAGCGAGCTCAAAACTCTTCTCTTTACTTGCAGGTTCCACCCCTGAACGCTTTGACATGCATGATGTTGTTCGCGATGTTGCCATTTCAATTGCTTCTAGGGACCTTCGTTGGCTTGCTTTAGGAGAGGAAGATGCATTTGAAGAGTGGGAGGATACAATGAGAAACTCTCATCTTGTTAGCTTAAAATATGCTAAGGTTAGTCAGCTCCCGGATGAGTTGGAATGTCCAAACCTTACATTTTTCTCCATGCATGGCTCTGTGGAAGTTCCCGATAACTTTTTAAGGGAATGCAAAAACTCAATGTCTTGGAATTTGCCAAAACTCATTTTACAACTTTGCCTTCCTCCCTTGGTTTCTTGCAAACGCTCTGTACATTGCGTTTGATAGGCTGTGATGTAGAAGATATAATCATCTTAGGAGAGTTGGAAAATTTGGAAATCCTTGATCTCCGTAGATGTAGAATGAAAATGCTACCAAAGGAGATAGGACAGTTGACCAAGCTAAAATTGCTAGACTTGAGTGGTTGTTTCCGCCTTAAATTAATACCACCAAATGTGTTGTCAGTGTTATCCAAATTAGAAGAACTATACCTATACGATAGCTTTGATGGATGGGAGATTGAGGGAACTGAGAATCCAAGAAGCAAAGCTAGTCTTATGGAGTTGCAGCATTTGTCTCGTCTGACCACTTTGGAAGTACATATTCCTGATGTGGAACCCATACCAAATGATATCTTGTTTCTCGAAAAGATGAGAAGGTTCAAGATTTCAATCGGAGATAAGAAGTGGAGTTGGTTTGACTTTGTTGACAGAGGGATGGAAACATCAAGAATGTTGAAGCTGAAGATTAATAAAAGTAGTGATTTGGTCGAAGGCATTTATAAATCGTTATCCAGAAAAACTGAAAGTCTACGTCTGCAAGGAGGTGAAGATGTTGTGGAAAGGCTTTGCGATCTAAATGCTGAATCTTTTGAGCAATTAAGATTCATAAAAGTCGAGAATTGCAATGTGTTGAAGAATTTGTTCTCATTCTCCATAGCAAAAAGACTTTGCCAACTCGAAGAACTTGAGGTATCCAACTGCGCCAATATGATAGCAGTAATTGTTGAAAAGGAAGAGATTAGAGAGAATGAGACTTTGAAATTTGATAAATTACGCATCTTGAAGTTGAATGCTCTGTGGTATATAGAAAATACATCTCAATCCGTCACATGGCTTTTTGATAAAAAGGTATTTATATTCATCTTTTTTTCATCTATTAATTATGGCATCCATCAAATTTTTTTTATTTTGATGTCTTTTCATTTCCCCCATTTAAATTAGATAAAAGAGTATATGTTTATTTATATCTACACTATTATTACTAGTCAAATGACATCAATGCAGTTGAAATTTTATAAAAAAACCCAAATTTTAAAACAATTATAAAATATTATTATAAGAGTTTTTTATTATATCTTTTATTATCTTTATATAATATTCAAAAAGAATTTATGACTTTCTAAAATATATATCTATATATTTTTAAATGATAATTATTAATTAAGAAAAAATTATTCATGATGGTATATGAAACATGAGTTTTATATATTTGCAGGTTTCGTGTCCTGCCTTGGAAGAGTTGGAGTTGATAGCAATCGGTGGCATTGAGAAAATATGGCATATTGATGATCACCTTTCTGGAATATATTTTAGTGTTCAAAGTTTAACAAATTTGGAAGTGAGGAATTGCCATAAGTTGAAGTATGTATTTACTTCATCCATGGTTAAAAGCTTTGTGCATCTGAAAACACTTGGGGTTTCTTATTGTGATGAAATGGAATGGGTAATAGAGGGAATATTAGAGGCAACCGAAGAAGAAAGGATTGACGCAAGCATAAGTGTGTTCCCTAAACTGTACTCTTTGGAACTCAATTTTCTTCGAAAATTGAAAGGATTTTGTTTTGGAATTAATCCGATTGAGTTTCCCTCGCTAAGGGATTTAACGATAACTGGATGTTCTGATTTTAACGCATTCATTTTTGATAATGGAAAGAGCAGAGCAGTGGTACCAGATATCTTCCATGAAAAGGTATGCATAAATATATAGATATTTCCTATTATGTAAAATCATATGCATTCTATTTACTCATCTTCCAACCTTTTCTTTGAAAGACGATATTGAAAGTTAAAAGTATATATATTGAAGATGTAAGAAGTTTTCACTTTTAGTTAAATTTATTTAATATGTAAGAGATAAAAGTTCAAAAATGAAAATATAAAACATGATGTGCATAGCTGTAGCAATAAGTTATTTTCTGAACTTGAATTCTTTTGGTGTTATGTTTTCTTTTATTTTCTATGAAATATTTTTTTTCCAGTATGAATTACTTGTTTAGTATTGAACTCTTTGTGCAGTGTATGTTTCCAAATCTACACCAACTCACTTGGGCAAGGAATGCTGGAATGAAAGACATCATATGTCATTGCGAGGGCCAACAACAACAGCAACTTATGTCTCATCACTTTGGCAACCTAAAAGTCATCAGACTATGGGGGTATGATAAGCAATTATTGCCATCTTACTTGTTCCGGTTATTGGCCTTACCCAATCTTCAAACACTCCAAATAAGAGTTTCTTGTTTCAAAGAGATGGTATTCCAAAGTGAAGAAGGTGGTGAGGAAAAGCCTGCATCGCTGCTACTCTCTCAGATAACTGAATTAAGGCTGGATTTTCTTCGTGAATTGATGCATCTATGGAAGGAAAAGGAAGGATTCCCAAATCTAAGGATTTTGCATGTTGACACCTGCTCTAATTTAAAAGGTAATCTAGTTCCATCCTCGGTATCTTTCCGAAATCTGGAAACTTTGAAAGTAGGGAGCTGTAATGGAATCATAAAATTAATCACACATCCCACAGCCAAAAGTCTAGTGCAGCTCAAACAAATGAGTATATCCTTTTGCGGAAATATAGAAGAGATAATACAAGGTGGGGACGATGATGATGATGAAATCAGTTTCCCCCAACTCAACCGTTTGGAACTTCTTAATCTACCAAAGCTAGAAAGCTTCTGCTCATCAGGGAATTATACCTTTTCATTCCCATCCTTGGAAGATCTAGTTGTACAAGATTGCCCGAAGATGAAGATGTTCTCCCAAGGGCACTCAAACACTCCAATGTTACACAAAGTACGGTTATATATTTGGAGAACTGACGGGCATATTCGGGAAGGCAGCCTTAACAGCACCATACAACAACTATTCAGACAAAAGGTGTGTTTTCTCAAATTTCTTTTTCATTTACTATTTTACAATATTCTTGTAATTGGATTTGCATTCCACTCACTACGAGTAAATACTGCTGAATTTTTAATCTCTTGGTAAATATAATATTTTTTAAATTGCTTTTACCAACAAATTGAAAATCCATAAGTACAAGTTCCGTTCATAACAACGTAAATCTAGTTTAAATCTACGAGTAAACATGGTAGCATAAAAATATATATTTAATTATGTTATTCACTTGGTGATCATAACAGCATGCCATGATAGAGGAAGGTGAAAATCTTGAAGAAGATCAAAGCAATCCTTCCACTTCTAACACCCAAGTAAGTCTAAATTCATTTTAATTTCTTATTCTTCTTTTCTCTTTCATAAATGTTATTAAATTCTCTCAAGGATTATTAAATGTAGAATCTCACAGAGGAAGTGGAAAATTCCACAAAAGATAAAGGCAATTCTTCAGCTTCTTTCTTCGAATGACCTGAATCAAGTAAGCATATATATACGTATATCGCATCATACGGTTATTGTTAGATTCAATAAGACAGTTTCTTTGGTGAATGCTTTCATCATCTTAAGTTCAAAAATGCAGAAATAATTCTTATTTCCTGAATATGTCACTTGATTTATGAATTTAAATAATAATCACTTGATTTCTCCTCTTATGGCATCATATTGAAACATTTGTTATCATCAATGTAACAGTGTATGGTAGCAGAAAATCAATTGATGCGAATGCTGCTCTTTCTATTTTTTACGACTTGATTGAAGTTTGATGGGTTGCGAAGATTGAATGAGTGTTTGAAGGTTAAAAACATGGATTTGATAGAACTTCTAATTAACAAATTTTCCATCTTTACTATTTTTTTCTCTTTGCAATGTTGTTTGATTGGTTCTAATGTTTGTGACGAATAGCATAGGTTGTGTGGCAAAGTATGCAATTTATGTAACGAAGATTCGTGATCTATATATATTTGTAAATATATATTTGTAGTGGAAGTACTTTTGGCAATGATGTATACTCATTCCTTTACTTTTCTCTGGTTTTGCAAAATTAAATTCCTTTTTACAAAAGGATGGCTTAATTGCCCATTAGTCCTTCGTCTTTCCATTTCTCAAGCTTCAAGGTCCCAGTATAATGCAGTTTAGCAAGGGCAATCAGCATCCCTAATATGACCCTGAATGGAATTATGAATGAAAATCATTCATTTCAGCATAGTAGAGGAACTATAACTATAATTAGACCAATTTTTAAGAATCCCAAAATAACACATTAAACATTAGTACAACTTAACCTGCGCTTAATATATCAGGATGAATATTGTATACCTTAGCAAAGACAAAGGGACGATGCCTTGTGGAAGAGCTGCCTGAAAACTCAAAATGATTCCGATCTCCGATTCAAAGTATACTTTTTTAAGGGTAGATATACAGTCACCGGAAACTGATATTACCTGCACGATAGCAATGCGGAGAAGAACACCTCTTAATCCGACAGTGATAGAGGCAGCTGCCATGACCGCGGGACCAGTTAGGAATCGGACTGCCATGGAAAAGGATGCGGTCATCTTTCCAAAAACAATTATCCTTGGCTGAAGTGCCATGAATAAACCTACAAGCGGATACGATTTCGGAAAAGTTCGAACTGAAAGAAGTGAAATTTGACATCTGTTTTCCCCGTAATGCACTACGAAATGGAACGAGCATCTATAGCAGGCATTTAGATACTCCACCTGCAAAAGTGCACTACGAAACTAATGAATTTGAATGTGGATTTAGACTAACATGGTTCAAAGCATGTGTCATGTAGTAGTTTTACATACATGAACCAAACCAGAGACCAAGTGAGGCCGATCAAGCTCAAATTCGGTTCAGCCAAGGGGTTGAGTTCAGCTGTGGAGCTGAAACCAAGCTATGTAAGCACCGGTCTTTCACGGTCAACCCCATTCGTCGCCGCTTATTAACGAAGGTGAATTCATATCTACCGTACTCATCATAATCTATACGGGGAAATCAAAAGAAATATCGAGTGTCGGAAAGGATCATTTTAGAGTTTACCCTTTTTTAATAAGGGTAAAGTACACAAATAGTCCCTCGACTATAGGATACTGTCTTATTGAGTCCCTTGATTATTAAAAGTTATAAAAATGGTCTCCCAATTATAGAGAGTTATTTTGTTGAGTCCATCGACTATTAAAAATTACAAAATGGTCACTAAACTATTCATTATGTTTCAAACTCATTTTCATTAAAAAATTGAAGGCAATCTGAGCTAGATATTAACTTGTTACCTGAGATATGATAAAATCTGATATCGTAATCTCAAACTACTATCTAATCTCAAACGACTTATATCTCAGTTAGCATGTTAACGTCCAACTCAGACGACCGTCAGACGAGTTTAGAATATAATAAATAATTGGGTGACAATTTTATAACTTTTAATAGTCGATGAACTCGAAAATCAACTCCCTATAATCAAAGAATCATTTTATAACTTTTAATAATCTAGGAGATCACGTTTCTTTACTTTACCCTTTTATTAAAATATCATATTAATTAACAAAGAGACCGAATACTACGTGGATTTAGAGTTTATCCCAAAAGAACGAAAACGGCCATTCATCGTCTCCCACCAAACTACTTCCACCAAACTTCAACGATCAGTTCAAGGCAAGGGGATTTCAACCAAACTTTAAAACAGATTCTAAGCGAAACCCAATAAAGAGCTTCATTTCCAGACTGTACAGATTTGTTCTCATCATTTCCCTCTCAATCGTAAGCGTTTCTTCTCTCTTTTTACTTGAAATTCTTTCTGTTGCTTAGCTGGTTACACTTTTGAACGATGATTTCTTTAATTTTCAAAGTGGAAGCAATTATTCTTGTTTCTTTGTTATCGGGTTCCTGAAGTAAAATTCAACGCCTTTTACACAAGTATGAAATCTGGGTATTTTAATGACAATATAGTTCTGCTGGCTGTTTTGCAATTTACTTTTGTTTGAATTAGCTAATAGCTAGTAGTTGAAACAGTGGAAGTACTAGATATAATCTTTTGTGTATGTAATTTGATGCCTATAAACAGTGATATTGAACTCACACCTGAAAAGAGATTTTCAAATGTTTTTATATCCTCTTCAAATTCATTTTCTTATTCAAACCTGCTGCTGCTGATATAGGATTTATCCATCTAAAAATTGCTTTCGTTTTGCCCCTGCAACTATTCAGGTGTGTGGATATTTGCTTGGAAAATCATAATTGAAATGATAGGGGCGAGGCGAGTTGAGAAGATATCAGGGCTGATGGGAAGCAGAGCACCTGTACTATATAGGACGCCATAGTCCTACAGATAAGCAGAGCATGTCTTCGACTTATCGTTACAACTCCAATTGCAGTCATCGTCCCACAACTAAGGTCAATTGAAACTTTTTTGTGCATGAACAGAACCTCGATTCTTTTATTTGATTTGTTTAGTTGTTTCTTTTGTGGTTTTGTCTATTGTAGCTGCTTATTTTTCTTAGTCTACACTATATGCTACACTCCAGGTCTTAAAGAAATCTTCCGCTATATGTGAAGATAGTGGAGGTTGAATAATATTAGATATATTAGTAAATAAATATCATTTAAAGTATATAAATTTACACTAGATTTCAAATTCAAAGTTTGAATAAATATTAATAAAGCAACACTTATTAACAAGATTCTTCGTCAAAGTTTACTAATGACCACATGAGTTTGCAGTCATTGTTGATATTTGCATGGAGTTTTGCTTGTACCGTCACTCAGACAGCCAAATCTATTAGGTTGACATTGTTTCTCTCTTTGTAGCTAAAAAGCTTGCAAATCTATAGAGATTCATGAAATGAAGAAGTTTCCCCTTGCTATAAATGCTAAAATTGTTAATATATATATAAATATATATATATATATATGAACAGAGTCCGAAATATTAAATTACGGAGTAATAATTTAAAAATTAAAACATCTAAATAAAATTATATAAATTAATGCATAATATTAATATCTGTTAGCAAATAAAGATTGAGTGTGAATGAAGTTACAGTGGCAGCTGAGTTGTTGAGAAGTGTGAGGTTGTTGAGCGTTGCATGTGTGTGTGTGAACGTTAACCATTCTGTTATGAGGTTATTATGAGTCTGTTAGATAATGAGCTGTATAAAAAGGGCCTTAAGCCTTTACTGAAATCAAGTTAAGAAAATAAACTCTTTTGCTGTTATTTCTTCTTGTGCTTAACCTAGATAGTAATCCATCATGGTATCATTCGCTTTCTGTTCCTGAGGTGCTTTGCTTCGATGCTTCAGCTGCTAGAGGAGACCATCTCTTTGGCTGCTAAGACCTTCACACACAAAAAGGTGAATGTAGTTCGCCATGTGTTCTTCTTTACTCTGTTACTTTTGTGTTACACGTTACCATCTATCAATTCATTTTCATTCTTTTAGATGAAGAAATTATTATTTTATGACATCTACCCCTTGTATTTACTTGATACTAGATTATACGGAGAGGTTAGAGTTGATTCAGGATTTGAGATTCGAAACCCCTACCTCGAAAATCAAGATGACACCTGATGGAGAGTACCTTATTGCTTCAGGTTCATTGCAGCTCAGCTTTCATACTTCTACGTTCTGCTTTCTGCTTTAACATTAATATGAAATATGAGCTCCCTTCTTATGTTACTCTTGGGTGTTAACAATATGCATGAAGAGCTGGAATTTGGATATAGGAAGGAATGTGTGATTACTTATGCACTTATTTCTGCATATCCACTTTTGGTAAAAGAGCTGGAAAACTACTTATTTTTTGACACGTTCTTTTGTCTATTAACTTCCACAATCTTCTTGTCTTAAATTTTTTTCATTGATTTTTTTGCATGTTGCAATCTGCTGTTGATGGATTACCGGGGGTGGCGGTTGGTAATAGTTATTACTCGTACCAATTATTGCATTTTCAATTTAGTTTCTGACTATCTGCGAACCAAGCTTTTGTTTTTTCCAGTTTTCAGTTTTTTTTTGTAACTGAATTAGCTTTCTCTTATAGTGCCCCAGAACTCATCCTGCTATGCCCCCGAGAACACAGGGCCAGCTCTGAAGCAGGAGGACATGCACCATCCCATGGGTTCTAGTTTGCCCAATGTATTCACTAATGGTAGTTCGTCGTTACATGCCGGGATTCATGGTCCTATTGATCTGCCTACCCATGCCAGCAGGTTTGATGCCCCACCGGGTATGCTTTCAACTCAGAATTCAAACATGAGTATGATGCAAAGAATGAACGGGAAAAATGATAAAATCAGAAGCTGGTTATTCGACCAGTTCTGCGTATATGTTTGGTGCTGAGAGCAATGTTCTGGAGGCACGTCCAACAATTGGGGATATGTCTTTCAGTACCGTAGAATCAAGCACTCAACCACTGAATGAACAGCTTCTGGATGCCGACATTTCTTCATTTGGATTTTTAGGCCAGATTCCCCGCAATATCAGTCTTTCAGATCTCACAGCTGATTTTTCTCAGAGTTCAGGTCTCTTTCCCTTCGACAGTTTGTGTCAGCACATGCATCTTCCCATACCACATATATTTGTCTGCATGCAAGCATGTATTTGTGCATCCATATCTTGGTTTCTAGTCTATTTTAAAATTTATTTCCTGTGCACCGGCATTTATTTGACCTAGTTAGCACTAGTTAATTTCATTTATGAAAATCATAACATTTTTAGAATAACCTCTTAATGATACCATATATTTATTTATTATCTGTGAATTGAAAAAGGAAATTTTTATATACTTTATTTTAGACTAACCTCATTATAATTTCAGATATATTGGAGAGCTACTCCCGATCACCGTTTTTAGCAACTGACAATGAAGCTTTCCTGGATTCTCGTGAAAGAGAGCATCAAGGTGAACCTCGTTTCTCCTGTCTCCCCATTGAAAGATTTATATATCGAGTTTTGTTGGTTTTGATTTATGACAGCATGGCATTTGTCGTTGGCTTGTAGGAGACAACAAAAGGTTGGATACCATATCAGAGGGACCGAGTTACTTTCGGGGTTTATGTGATTGCTTAAATGCTAATGGTGTCAACGATTGAATTACGGTTTTTAAATCGAAAAGATTTTGAAAGAAAGGATTTAAATTTTAACCTTTTAACTACAATGATAAAATCTCAAACTTCATTCAAGTACACATATTGGCAGCATACTTTGACTTGAATTTTATCATTATGCCCTTATGTTGCACCTTCTTAATTCATGAAGATTGAAAGTTGAAGTACTGTTATCATCATATGACATGCTATGTTATTCGGACTGAGTCGAAAAGGTATCGGATATCATGATTTGTTCGATTTGATATAAATGTATTGAATTGCATTCGTTTTTGCTTTCTATATGCATGAAGAATGATACTATATATTATGTTTAGATGTGTCTGATAAGTTATAAATACATATATTTTGAGGAAAAGAAAACCAAGTCCTAGTAACAACTAGAGGTTAGTTCTAATATCATAGTCCGATTCTTCTTTGAGGTCGTTTACATCCTCGATTCCGACATTGGTGGAATCTCTGTTTACACCCCGAGCCCCATGGATGCATCCTCCATTCTGTTCGATCTTGTTCGAATCCTCCATTTTGTTCAATATACAGTCGAGTCGCACCGGCTGCCAGGGATGGACTTAGGCGGGACGGTCGTCTCCTGAAAATTTGAAATTATCATATATTTTAAATTTCTTTTATGTATTTTCTGTTGAAAATTTGTTTTTACCCTTCAGAATTTTATAAGTTCAAGTTGGACCTGAAATTATTCAATTTGTTATTGCAACCATCAACCTTTTCATATTTCAATGAGCATAACTGCTTAGACGTATACGTTTTGGTATAATCTTGTGTAGGGAACAAATACTTGCTTCAAAAATCATTAATAATGTCGAAAGGTAAAATAATATATAATTATCCTATTTACTATAAACGGGATAAAATATTATATTTTATTAGTTTGATATTGGTATTTTAGTAAAATATCTAAATGGTTTTTTGATAGCCAAGGTAAATCGCATAGATTAATTCATGATTCGATCATTAGTTCCAACATATAAATATCTAAATGTTTTTCTGATAGCTTGGTTATATTTACTCGGGATGTCAAACCTAATCCTTCTTAGCGTCTCGGTAATCAAAGAGACGTTTGAATGATTACTTCTCTTATTGATTAGACAGTCACACAACTCACACCGTGGATGATTTAAACTTAGATCTTATATGTTGATAACTGTTGAAACATTTTTGATATTTCGATATAATAAATTAAGTTAAATGGATTTTAAGATTTTCCAAATGATTTTCTAAGTATATTCGATATAACTATTCGAATATCAAAACATTACTTCAAATATTTCAAAAAAATCATTTTTAATCCTCACTTAAGTGTAAAATTAAGTTTTAATCATAAAACAATTTCAAAATAATTTTACAAAGTATTTCGAACCATTTCAAAGCTAAAAATTCCAGATTGCTCAGAGGGAACCGATTCCCCCCAAGGGGGTACCGATTCCCCCTGAATGGTTTGGCTCCGAGATTTCCAGAATGCTCGGAGGGAACCGATTCCCCCATAGGGGTACCGATTCCCCCCCTGTTCAACGGTCGAAATATTTGAATTTTACACTTAGGAACCGATTCCCTTCAAGGGGGGACCGATTCCCCTCACGCTCCAAGCTGTTTTATTAAATGTTTTCACACTAAAACGGCTATAATATCTTCTCTAATCATCCCCAACGTTCAGAAGTGATTCAAGGTGTATTTAAGTAAGCTTAGAAGCCATTGATCAATAACAAGAATTATCAAGCAACTAGAATCAAGAGAGAATCAAGCTAAGGTAGTGGACGTAGACTTTTGTTGATAAAGTCGAACCACTCTAAATCGTTGTGCAATTTCTTTCAATTTTCTGCAAAAGCTTCCACCAAAATTTTAATTGCCAATTCACCCCCTCTTGGCCGATTCCGTCAATCGATTAACTCAACAATAACCCTTGCCAGAGTTTTTTACTACATGGATTGAAATCTTCCCACAATTACAGATGGTTCGATTTTAATTAGTTATATAAAGATTCAATAAATTAAAAACCTTGAAGAATCTTTGATTAGATAATGAAGCTTTAGCAGCTCATATAGAAAATAAAACCTAAGATAGAAATTGAGTTTCGATGCAAATAGGGAACTTGTCCGGAAATCTGTAAACGTGTCGTGGGGTCCTGCAGTGCTATCAGGTATGTAACCATTTTTGCAACATACATTGATGCTTTTTTTTCTAATATTAATAATTTTATTAGTTTACCTGCAAGCATAATGACCGATGATTCATGTATGCTAGTTTAGGGGTTAAATTGTATAGCTATTTGTAACTTTTATACATAACTAGGATATTTTAAAAAGTTCAGCTTATTTTCTTTTTTTTTTTGGATAATTAGATTTTTTTATTACCCAAAGAAAGCAGAAATGCTTCAAATCCAATACAAACAATTAAGAACAAAAGAAGGGGTGACAAGAATCACAAAAAATCATACAATACCCCAAGAGCTACAAAGAGAACGATTAGTAATATCCAATCTATTGACAACCCTATTGCTAAGTTGTGTTCCAACAGTCTGTTTGATTGAGGACATAATTTCGTCTTCGGATCTGCAGGTTCCTCGAAAAAGTCTACGATTCCTTTCTTCCCATATTGTATAATTGAGAGTGCACCAAGAAAGCTTCAAAATATTAGTAAGCAATGACTTGCCTTTCCACGTGTTATAAGCCCAAGTAAGCAGGGTAGTCCAGGTAGGAAGAGGTTTATGAATACCTGTGAGCTGAAGAATAGAATTCCAGATTGAAGCAGTTATTTTACATTCAGCAAAGAGATGGTTTTTGGATTCCCTTGCTTCAGAACAGAGGATGCACATATCATTAGTTTCAATCCCAAACCGAAGAAGCCTATCCTTTGTAGGAAGACGATCCAAAATAACCATCCAAGAGATTAAGCTAAACTTGGGAATGTGCAATGAAAACCAAATCAGTTTATGCCATGGGACTTTACCATTTTTCTGTCGAACCTCATCCCAAATCAGTTTGGTAGTCACAGCTCCGGATGCTAGAAGAGGTCGAGCAGATGCTCGGAGTTTCATGATTTTCCTTAGGATCCAGCTTGAGTTATTCGGTTCTTCCATGTGCCAGAAATCATGATCCTTAATGAGGTAGTGGAGGATCCAAGCAACCCAAAGGGAACCCTCCCCTGCAAGTAATTTCTTGATGAGAAGGAGCATGCATGAATTGTTCCATGACTTTATGTCTTTAAGTCCAAGCCCGCCTTCCGACTTTGGGGAGCAAATTTTACCCCAGCTAACTCTAGCTCCCACTGCAGAAACGTCGGAACCTTTCCAGAAATATCTCGAACAAATTTGTTCGATTTTGAAAATGACAGATTGTGGCAAAACAAGTTGCCTACACCAGAAGTTTGCCACACTAAAGAGAACTGTCTTGATCAGCTCCAATCTGCCAGCGTAACTGAGCTTCTTCCTGGACCATTGATGGAGTTTGGCCTTGATCTTGTCTAAGAGAGGCTGGCAATCTTTGACCGAAAGTTTCCTTGTGACCAGAGGTATCCCCAGATATCTGACCGGGAGTTTACCAAGCTTAAACCCAGAAGAATTAATAATAGTGTCAAGGGAGTAAGCTGAAATTCCAGCAGTAAAGATTTCACACTTTGAAACATTAAGCTTGAGGCCAGATATTTCATAGAAGAAGTCAAGAACAGTGATGACTCCCATGACAGATTCCAAGTTTCCCTTGCAGAAAACTAGGAGATCATCAGCAAAAATAAGGTGGGTGAGATGAATTTTCTTGCATTTAGGATGAAAATTGAAAACCCCTTTTGCAGCGGCATTGTTGAGTAAGTTAGAAAGAATGTTCATTACCATGACAAACAAGATAGGGGAAAGGGGGTCCCCTTGTCTAAGACCCTTAGCACCCTTAAAATATCCAGTCAAACTTCCATTGAAAGCAATGGAGTAAGTTGAAGTAGAGTAGCAGGCCACTATCCAGTCAATAAAAGTATTAGGGAGTTGAAGAGCCTTTAGAATGCTAGGAATGAATTTCCAGTGAATGGAATCAAAAGCTTTTTGGAGATCAATTTTCAAGGCACACCTTGGGGAAATTGATTTCCTCCCATAACCTTTCACAATTTCTTGGGCAAGGAGGGTATTGTCTATAATACTCCTACCTTTAACAAAAGCAGATTGGTTAGAGGAAATAATCTTTGGCAGGAATTGATTCATCCTAGTAACAATGATCTTTGTGATGGCCTTATAGATTACTGAACAGCAAGAAATAGGGCGAAAATCAGAGACTTTGCTGGGGTTCAGTATCTTTGGAACCAAGGCGATTGTAGTGGCATTAAAAGCTGGGAAGATATAGGATTCCTTGAAGAAAAAGGTAATAGCTTCAATCACTTCTTTACCAACCACTGGCCAGGTTTTCTTGAAGAAAAAAGAGGAATAACCATCAGGGCCTGGGGCCTTTTCATTTCCTTGGCTGAAAATGGCCTCCTTGATCTCTTCTGAAGTAACTTCTCTAGTAAGGCCTTCATAATCTTCAGAGCGAGGAATAGGTTGAATGAGGTCTTTAAGAATATTGGAGGGACAATCTTTTACATTAGGGTCTTGAGAGCCTAAAAGTTTTTGGAAAAAGTTTACAACTTCAGAAGACATGTCGTCAAAAGTTTCCAACCTTCTTCCTTGATCATCCACAATCACTCTGATGGTGTCTTTCTTCCTTTTAGAAGCAATGACTGAGTGGAAAAATCTGGTACATTTGTCACCTTCTTTTAGCCAGTGAATTTTTGCTTTCTGTTTGAGAACCATTGCTTCAGCTTCCTCTAAGGAGGTGAGGTCTTTTTGCAGTTCAAGCTCCTTTTCAACTGGCTCAATGCCTCTTAAGGTAAGGATTTGCTGTTTTTCAATTTCTTCTCTCTTTAGCCTAACCCGAGCAGAAATGTCACTGTAGAAGTCATTATTGAGGGTTTTGAGACTGGCTTTAAGGCGTTTGAGCTTGAGGAAAAGTTTTTTCATTGGATTTCCTTGGATTGGGGTGGACCAAGAGTGGCTGACAATATTAATAAAATTTGGGTGCAAGGTCCAGCAGTTGAAGAATTTAAATGGCTTTGGTCTATTGGATTGAACCTCTTTGTGAAGAGACACCAAAGCCATACAATGGTCAGAGGGACCAGGGGCCAGAAATTCCACAAATGAGTGAGCAAAAAATTCAGGCCAATGAGGATTGATGAGAACTCTGTCAAGCTTTCGGGCAAGGAAATTATCTTTTTGTTTGTTACTCCAAGAGTAAATTGGGCCAAAAAATGGATGGTCAAGGAGGTGAAGGTCGTGAGAGATTTCCTGGAATTCAATAATTTCAGGGGAAGTGACCATACTAAGATGCTCATGAGCAGAAGATTCATGGGGATGAAGGATGACATTAAAGTCTCCTCCCAAAATCCAAGGAAGATTACCAAAATCAGAATCTATATTGCGAAGGTCTTGCCAAAGGTTCCTTCGAGTGATTCCATCGTTACACCCATAAATTGCAGAAAGTAAGAAAGGACTGTTATTGTAGTTGCTTTTAACAGTAATGCTCTGATCTGAAACATGGCATAAAGAAATATTAAGATTTTTCTTCCATAGGAGCCAAATTCTACCATTTATGGCAAAGTCATAGTTGGAATAAAAATTCCAATTTTCAAAAGTGGAGGCTAGAATGTCAGTAGATTTGTCTTGCTTAACCCGAGTTTCTAGCAAGCAAAGAATGTCAACTTTGTAGAGAGTAGCTCTTCTGAGGACCTTAGATTGTTTTAGAGGATTGTTTAATCCTCTAACGTTCCAAAAGGAGATGATCATTAGGCTTGAGTTGAGGAATTTGGTTCCCCTCCTTTATTGTCAACAGTAGAAAGTTTTGATTTCTCAAGATTGTGTTTCTTCTTTGATTTGAGTTCTTTGATCAAGATGGCAACACCAGAAGCAGCTTTTCTGGGCTGTTTACCAGGAATAATAGGTATTGACTGAGTATCTTCAACCGAGTTGAGAATTTCAAACCTATTACTTGATGCTGCGAGAGCATTACTTGGAGAATTCTTAGGAGGTCGACCTCTGCTTCCTTTAGAAAGAGAAGAAGAAGAGGTTTGAATACTGTTTGCAGAACTTTGTAAAGCAGGAACAGAAGGAACTTTAGGATCTTGAAGAACAGGTTCAACTTCTGGGATGGAAGGAGAAGAAGACAGAGTTCCTTTGGAGTGAATAACATCCAGAGACGGAGGAGAAATTTCAGAGGATTGAACATCAGATGTTGGTTGGTCACTTGTTTTAAGTTCCTTAGAATTTATATCCTCTACGCAGATAGAAGTGTGATTAGAATCCAGCTTGTCTTCAACGTTTTTTGAGTTTTGAGGATTAGTGGAGGTAGAAGCTTCCTTCTTCCTCCAGACTTGGGTAGTCGTGTGAGAGGTTAAAGGAAGAGTTTTGCAACTTTTAGCACTATGACCAAAAGTATTGCAAGCTTTGCAACATGGTGGGAGCCAAGGAACTTCCACAAAAACAGAAGCAGTTTGTCCATTATTAAGAATAACATCAACTTGCTTTGGAATCTCGTCTGAGGCCCCAATTTCGATACAGACTTTTGCAAATTCCAGACGAGATTTAGAAACTGTTATAGAATCCATTGAGAGAGGGAATCCTACAGCACTAGAGATGTAGCTTAAGCCTTCATTAGAGAACAATTCAAGCGGGACATTGTATAAATGAACCCACAGAGGAATTCTAGATAAGTCAAAATGCAGTTTTTTCATGTTTGGTTCCCACTTCCTAAGGATTAGAGGCTTGTTAAAAATATGCCAAGGCCCATTTTCCAGTACCCATTCACGAGCAGATTCAGTATCAAAATTAAACAGGTAAAGGTTAGGTCCGGCGTAACTGACCTGAATTTTGGCACCTTGTAAAGGTTTTTTCCACAAGCTTTCAATGATTTTTTGAAGGGAAGAGAAGTTCGGAGTAGCCCCAAGCACTTGCCCAACAAGAGAGATTTTCCACTCGGCAGTACCTTCTTCAAAAACTTCTGGCGGAGGATGAACAGTTGGGGTGCCATCTTTAACATTTGGGGGAAAATAGCGAAGTGGCTGACCAGTAGAGCAAGAGAATAGTTTGCGCCAATCCATCGATTAAACCAGGGGAATATAAAACTTGAAGATCAGCAAAGAAACAGAGAGAATCGGTGAAGGATCTGTGAGATTTCTGGGAAAACGGATGGGTTTTTCAGATTCCATTAGACCCGCTAATGTGCGCCGAGAGAAACCCATAAACGTACGCCATCCCAAAAGCTCCGGTTTTTCACATTTAGTTTGTGCAGGAAAAGACTGGAATCGTTAAAACTGGGAGTGGAGAAGAGAAAAGAGGATGAACCAAGCCAAGTTCAGCTTATTTTCTATTAAAGCATAATGTCAAAATTACCGCAAATGTTTACTAAAATGGTTTTTCTTGCCCTTATTCTTCGTTTTAGAGCACTTTGGCCCATAACATTTCATTTTAGGGTAAAAAGGCCCTTATGTTTTACTGAATTGTCAATTTGACCTTTATTCTTTTTTTTTTCTAGAGCATTTTGACTCTCAACGTTTCATTTTAGAGTAAAAAAGCTCATATTTTGGAGCGTTAACCGTTTGTTAACTAATAGTTTCTATCCACAGATGAACTATTTTAGGGTGAAAATTCTTTGTACATTATGTTTGATAGGCTTTGATTTAAAAGATATAATTCTTTTAAATAAAATGAGTTAGACTTGTGATTATGAATAAAATGAGTAATCAATTTGAATCCATTTTTTATACGGAAATTATTGTAATGTGAAATGAGAGAAATATGGAAATGCACATGGTAAGATATTATATTTGCTGTTACAAATTTATAATAAAATGAAGGTATAGATTACGACAAACCTTATCATATAATATATCCAGTTCAGTTGGTAGAACACAAGGTTCTTAACCTTGAGGACGTAGGATCGAGTCCTATGTAGGGTATTTCATAATTTGGAGGTCTCCTACGGAAGCTGCTCCCCACCCGTCCCTTTATCCAATCGTCTCCTCTTAAATTCAATGTATTAAACAATTGTGCGACCAACTTGTGATTGCCAACTTGCAACTTGACTAGAACAACAGCCTAACAAATGGTTCAGTCCGATTTGGGTGCCGTTTTTGCAGGATCTGAATCAGTGATGGTTTTGTTGAAAAAAAAGTAAATATAAAGAAGAAAAGTATAGATTATGCATGCTTTTGTCCCACTTGAAATAAACAATGTAGAGATAAGTTATTTGGATTTAAATCTCCAAACACAGATGTAGTCAAAGATGCTTTTGTCGAGAAAGAAAACAAAAGTATGCACTAAGCAGGCATGAACAAATAACATATATTAAATAATTAACTTGTACATCTGTCCACCATTATTTTCCAACTTGGTTGTTTCTTCCTCTGTCTTCTTTTCTCTCTCACACAGTTGGAATAGGAAGAAATCAAACTCTAAAGCTCATTACTCTCTTGCTTTGGATACCCAAAAAGAGGAGGTATGCTTTGTTTAACACACTGTTTTCATCTTTGATTATCATATTTACTCCGCTGTTTCAAGTACGCATTTCATTATCCAATATGTTGTTTTCTCTGCAGCGACTGTTCTGTTGCTAAGGATTTACTCCCCCGTCGTTCTATAGTTTGTTCTGCTTCTTAGCAAATTTTCAAGGGAAAAAATGGACGTTCTTGTTGGCATTGTTGGATCTCTTGCTGGCAAAGCTGTTGAGTATGCTGTCGATCCCACCGCACGACAACTTAGTTACGTATTCAAGCCCAGGAGCAAGTTTCAGAACCTCCGGAGAAAAGTTCAAGACCTAAAGGATGCAAGAGAAAGGGTGCAACAATCTGTTGAAGCGGCTAACAGGAATGGGGAGGTGATTTTTTGAGAATGTTCAAAGGTGGTTGACAGAGGCCAATGAGAAGATCTCCGAGGAGGCTGCAACACAATTGCAGAAGAATGAAGAGAAAGCAATGAAGAGGTGTTTTGCTGGATTTTGCCCTGATCTCATGTCCAGTTACCAGCTTAGCAAGAAAGCGGACAGGGAGGCCGATGCTATAGCTCAACTCTTGACCCAAAAGGATGCATTTAAGGAGATTTCCTACCTTCCTGCTCTTCAAGTGACCGACATTATCAGACCTGTCAAAGAGTACGATGCCTTCGAATCAAGAAGCCGTGTTCTCGATGAGGTAATGACTGCATTGAAAGATGATACAGTCAGCATAATCGGAGTGCACGGTATGGGGGGTGTGGGTAAAACCACACTCGTCAAAGAGGTCGCTGGAAAAGCCAAGGAGAAACTGTCGTTCGATGAGGTGGTCTTTGTAGCTGTAACACAAACTCCTAACACAGTAAATCTTCAAAATGAGATCGCCAACAAATTAGGCATGAAATTAGACGACGACCCAAGCGTTGATGTCCGAGCAGCCCGGCTACGTGATTGATTAAAGAAAGCCAAGAAGGTTCTTATCATCTTGGATGATATTTGGGAGAAACAACAGGTGGACACACTTGGAATTCCTTCAGTAGACCAACACAAGGGATGCAAGATCTTAATAACCTCGAGGAAGCTCGTTGTATTGAAGTCGATGGATTCGCAAAAAAGCCTTTCAATTGATATATTGAATGAAGTTGAAGCATGGAACCTGTTTAAGAAGGTGGCTGGTCATATCGCTGAAAGATCTGACTTGCAATCTACAGCAATGGAAGTCGCCCAAAAATGTGCAGGACTGCCGCTCGCTATTACAACAGTTGCAAAGGCTTTGAAACACAAGGAGAATTTGTATGAATGGAAGGATGCTCTGGAGCAGCTAAAACCCTCTGAAATAAACTCCGAAGGCATAACAGCTGAAGCATATTCAGCCATAGATATGAGCTACAGATATTTGAAAAGGGAGGAACTTAAATACACTTTCTTGCTCTGCAGTATAATGGATCATGATGCTGCCATCGAAGACTTACTGAAATATTGTTGGGGCTTGGGTTTATTTCCTGTCCTTGACACGATGGAAAAAGTGCGGAACAGAGTGTTGACACTGGTTAGTGACCTCAAAGACTCTTCCCTGTTACTTGCTAGTTCTACACCTGAACGCTTTGATATGCATGATGTTGTCCGCGATGTTGCCATTTCAATTGCTTCTAGGGACCGTCATTGGCTTGCTATAGGAAAGGAAGATGTATTTGAAAAGAGGGAGGATACAATGAGAAACTCTCATCTTGTTAGCTTAAAATATGCTAAGGTTAGTCAGCTCCCAGATGAGTTGGAATGTCCAAACCTTACATTTTTCTTCATGTATGGCTCTGTGGAAGTTCCCGACAACATTTTTAAGGGGATGCAAAGACTCGAAGTCTTGGAATTTGGCGAAACAAATTTTACAACCTTGCCTTCCTCCTTTGGTTTCTTGAAAACTCTCTGTACATTGCGTTTGATAGGCTGTGATGTAGAAGATATAGTCATCTTAGGAGAGTTGGAAAATTTAGAAATCCTTGATCTCCGTAGATCTAGAATGAAAATGCTACCAAAGGAGATAGGACAGTTGACCAAGCTAAAATTATTAGACTTGAGTAGTTGTTTCTGGCTTGAATTAATACCACTAAATGTATTGTTTAAGTTATCCAAATTAGAAGAACTATACCTATACAATAGCTTTGATGGATGGGAGATTGAGGGAATTGAGAATCCAAGAAGCAAAGCTAGTCTTATGGAATTGCAGCATTTGTCTCGTCTAACCACTTTGGAAGCACATATTCCTGATGTGGAAGCCATACCAAATGATATCTTGTTTCTCGGAAAGATGGAAAGGTTCAAGATTTCAATCGGAGGTAAGAAGTGGGGTTATGAGGATGACAGAGGGATGGAAACATCAAGAATGTTGAAGCTGAAGATTAATAAAAGTATTGATTTGACCGAAGGCGTTTATAAATTGTTGTCCAGAAAAACTGAAAGTCTAAGTCTGCAAGGAGGTGAAGATGTTGTGGAAAGGCTTTACGATCTAAATGTTGAATCTTTTGAGCAATTAAGATTCATAAAAGTCGAGAATTGCAATATGTTGAAGAATTTGTTCTCATTCTCCATAGCGAAAAGTCTTTTCCAACTCGAAGAACTTGAGGTATCCCAATGCGACAATATGATGGCATTAATTGTTGAAAAGGAAGAGATTAGAGAGGACGACACTTTGAAATTGGATAAATTATGCATCTTGAAGTTGAATGAATTCAATGGCTCGTGGTGTATAGAAAATACATTTCAATCCGTCACATGGCTTTTTGATAAAAAGGTATTTATATACAATATGACATAAAGATGAGTGAGATAGGTAGAGAGAGAAGTGCAGAAAACTCGAAAAAGTCCATTGCCTCTACTGAGGAATGGACAGTGTTCATTGACAATCTTAGTAAGAGGGTTTCAAGACGTGTGCTTAGAGAGTTTTTTAGCCCTTATGGTCAGATTGTGAGAATATTCATTCCGCGGTTTTTAGAGAAATCAAAGTACAAGTCCTCAACATTCGCTTTTGTCCAATTTATTGATGAGGAAAGTAGGGAAAAAGCTATCCAGTCTGTGAATGGGAGATGGTTCGATGGGAGGAGATTATCGGTAGGGGTTGCTAAGTATCAGAAGGGAACTAAGAAGGAGGTCGATGATGGGAAGAGTATGTTGAGGATCAAGTCAAGAGAGCAGGAGTTGGTTTCAAATGGGCTAAAGGCAAAGTCGTTGCAAAGCTTCAGGGATGGCAGAACGTATAAGGAAGTAGCGAGGTCTGATGTAAACAAGAGAAGAGAACAAGAGTCAGAGATGTTGGTGGAGGGTAGCAAACGTAATGCTACTGGTGTGAGGAACGTGTGGGAGATGCATATTGCGACAGACAATTTCAAGTGGGTGAAACGATCATTAACAGGAATAATGAAATCAACTTATGATTATGAGTCGGTAAAGGAAGCCTTGGAGATAGAGGGATTGGGAATCCAGGTGTCGAGATGGGGTTATGCTTGGAAGGCTTGTATCATCACTTTTAATTCTGTTGATGAATTTTCTTATGCTTGGGAGAACAAGAAGGAAGTGTTGTCCTTGTGTTTCGATTGGTTAGCTCCAGCAGTTAATGAGAATGGTGTTCCTTTGGCTTTGTGCCAAATAGAACTGTGTGGTTTGCCCTTATTGTGCTGGAATGAGGCTTTCTTGGAGAAGCTTACTAAGGATTGGGGAAGGTTCATTTGTTTTAAGGAAGAATCAAAGATGAGATACGACCTTTCGTCTGCGAAGGTTTTGTTAAGGGTGGAGAGTCCCTTCGATGTTCCAGAAATGGTCACTGTAGGTTCTTATGGTAGATCTTTCAAAGTTAAGATTCTCATGGGGTCTGTGTTGATCCAGCCGAAGGAACTGGGGAGGAAGATGGAAGAGAAATTTTCAAACAAGGTGAACAGGGATTCTGTCCTTTCCGAGTCAGAGGAGGACTGTGTTCCAGAAAGAGCAGTTGAAGGAGAAGATTTTGCAGAGATTTCTTCGCATAAAGTTACTTCTTGGCTGAATAATGGTCATAATAGTGGTATGAATAAAGTTACTGAGGGTCAGGCTACTTCAAGAAAGTCAAATGCAGGAAAGTCCAATTGTGGGCTGTCAGGTTTTGTGGAAAATAGGTCTGTCCAAGTGGAAGGTCACGTGGGACTAGGTCTGAGAGAAAGTTCTTCTCCCGATGAAAAAAACCAATCTGATGTTAATGAGTCTCCCCTAAACTCTACTATGAAAATCTGTCCTTCTGGGCCTGCATATAACGTAAAAAGGATTGGAGATAAACTAATTTTCCAGCCCAATAACATTTTAGTCAATCCTTTGGTCCCTGTAGAAGTTGATAATCCTAGGCACGTGATTATAATTTCAGGGGGGAGAAGGAATTGGTACAAGCTGAGCAGGGCGTCGAATTGATCGTAGAGCAGGCTATCGAGCAGCGGAGTATAATTGAGGATAATGTGATAAATTCTCATAGACAAATGGACATTGATAGGAATAGTGTATCTGGTGACCATGAGGTGGAGGGCAGATTCTTAGATAAGGAGAGCAGTTTGGAGTCTACAAAAAATTCTAGTCAGGGCTTTTCTCGGTCCACAAATTTAATGAACAGGAGAAGGTTCAGAATTGCTCCTTGTCATTCGGGTAGTGTATGTTCGGAGGGTGAAGTGGAAGTAAGATTTCATGATAGAATATATAGGAGGGTGAATGGTAGCACGGACAGGGAGTCAGTGGACTACGTTAGGGAGGTGTCTCAGCCATCTCAAGACTTTGTTCAAGCCAGGCAGGAAGCGGAATATACTAGGGAAGTCTGTGACATGCTGGGAATTTCTTTTAAAGGGGGGAATCAAATTGTAGAGGATGAGATTTTCAAGATGGAATTGTTGGGGATTGGAAAGGCCTCCTGATTGTACCTTGTGGATTGAATTTGGTGTTGAATGTTATTAAATAAAATGTCAAAACTAAAAATGATTACATGGAATATTAGGGGGCTTGGGAAGTCTGAAAAAATCAGGGCAGTGTCGAGGTTGGTTCTTAGAGAAAAGCCGGCTATTTTACTACTTCAAGAATCAAAATTGAATGTCTGTAGAAGTGGATTAACAAGAAAGCTTGGGGGTAATCTGCTCAGAGGCAGCTGTTTTGTTCCAGCTGATGGTTCGGCAGGAGGTCTGATATGTTTATGGAATGAGAACTACTTTGAGGTTAGTGCACAGATTAACAGTAGTAGATTTATGGCATTATCAGGGAAGTTTAATATGAGCAATTTTGAATGTGTCATTATCAATGTGTATGGTCCATCAGTAGAGGCTGATAAAGAGGAGTTTTTTAGGGATTTTTTATGTGCTGTTCAAAGCATCAACTTGCCGGTCTGCTTGGGGGGGACTTTAATGCTTATCTAGACTCTGAGGAGAAATGTGGGTTTACTCAGAATTGGCACTCTATGGATCTGCTTAGGTCTTTTATTCAGTCATCAAATTTGATGGATTTACCGCTAGTAGGGGGCGATTTACATGGTCCAATAATAGAGAGTCAACTACATGGGTAAGGCTGGATAGATTTTTGATTAGTGGATCATTTTTAAATCAGTTCCCAAATGTGATCCAAAAAATGCTTCCCAAATCCCTTTCGGATCACAATCCAGTTTTGTTGGTAGAAGAATGCAATAATTGGGGCCCTAAGCCGTTTCGGTTCTATAATTACATGCTTCAGGAAGATGGGTTTGTTGAGGCGGTGGAATCGTCATTATCAAATCTAAGGAGGGGTATTGGTGGTAGGGGTCTGTTTTCACTGCTTAGAGGAACTAAGCAGGCTATTAGGAATTGGCCAAGGAATAATCACAGGGGATTTTCCGATGCTATTTCTGAATTAGAATCCAGAATTAATGGTCTGGAATTGAAGCTACAGGAAGAGGGGACTTCCTTTCAAGAATGGGACTTGATGATTGTTGCGAGGAAGGAGTTGTGGAATTTGCATAGGAAGGAGGAGAGCATTTGGCTGCAGAGGTCACGAGTGAGATGGAGTATTGAGGGGGATAGAAACACAAAGTTTTTTCACATGTGTGCGTTGAATAGGAATAGGTTTAACACCATTTCTTCATTGAAGGTAGCTGAGGAAGTTATTTCAGAACCGGATCAGCTGAGAGGCTTTGTTTTTAATTATTTCAAGGACAATTTTAACTCGGTAACAACCCTAGAGGTGGACAAAATCAATTTGACTTTTGCTAAATTGACAGATGATCAAAAGAAGCTTCTTGAAGTTAGATTCTCAGAACAGGAGGTGTGGGAGGCAGTCTTCCACTCGGATAGTGCCAAAGCACCGGGGCCAGACGGTTTCACCATGGGTTTCTTTAAGAAATTTTGGCCATCTCTGAAGTCATACATTATGAAATTTGTCGAGGACTTTTATAATGGAAGGATTTGGGAGCACGGGGTCAATCATTCATTCCTAACGTTGATTCCAAAGATCAGAAATCCTGAAGGTATAGAAGATTACAGACCGATAAGCTTAGTTGGCAGTTTGTATAAAATAATTTCCAAAGTCCTAGCTAGAAGGCTTGCGGCTGTTATTAGTGTTCTGGTTAGTCCGTCACAGTTTGCCTTCATTCCCGGAAGGCAGCTATTGGACTGTGTCTTTTTGGCTAATGAAGTTATTGATGATTGGAGGAAAAAAGAGAGGAAAGGTGTTGTTTTCAAGGTGGACTTTCGAAGGGCTTATGATTCGGTGGAATGGCCTATATTGTTGAGACTCCTGAGAATTATGGGTTTTGGAGATAGGTGGCTTTCTTGGATTGATTTGTGTATCTCCTCCGCTTCAATTTCTGTTCTTGTCAATGGTTCTCCGACCAATGAATTCAAGATGGGGAAAGGGTTAAGGCAAGGCTGCAGTTTATCTCCTATGCTGTTCAATATTGTTGGGGAATTATTGAATCTAATGTTGATTAAGGCTGCTGATAGTGCTCTGTTTGAAGGGTTCAGTGTTGGTAGGGCGGAAAATAAGTTTCATTTGACGCATCTACAATTCGCAGATGACTTAATACTTTTCTGCAGGGACTCTTCTGCTCAAATTATGAATATTAGGAGAGTTTTGAGGATCTTTGGTTTAATGACAGGCCTCCAACTTAATTTATCAAAGAGCAAGTTATTTGGTGTTAATATGGATGAGGAGGTTCTAAAGGAGTGGGCTACGTTCGCAGGTTGTGGTGTTGGGGCTCTTCCTATGACATACCTTGGTATACCGATAGGCACTTACAGAAATTCGGATCTGTTGTGGGAACCAGTTCTGCAGAAGTTCAATAGCAAATTAGAGGGCTAGAAAGCAAAAACATTATCGATGGCAGGGAGATTAGTATTAGTGAAGTCTTTTTTGTCGTCCTTGCCAATTTTCTTTCTCTTTATTTTCAAAATCCCTCTAAAGATTAATCAAAAGTTGAATTCTCTGATGGCTAAATTCCTTTGGGGGGACGATCCCTTGAAGAAGCGGATTCATTGGGTGAATTGGAAAATTGTGTGTCAACCGTACGAGGAGGGTGGTTTGGGTGTCCTGGATTTGTCGATGGCGAATAGAGTGCTTCTGGGGAAGTGGGTTTGGAAGTTTGCAAATGATAAACATTCTCAGTGGAAGGAGATGATCTGCTGCAAGCACAATATTACCAATTTGTCTATTTCAATTAATAAGGCTGTTAACCCGCAAGATTCATGGATATGGAGAGGAATTGTGAATAATTATGAGAAAAATGACGATATTGGGAATTGTCTGAGGTCCAATTCCAAGATCCAAGTGGGGAATGGTAGATCAATCGAATTCTGGAATGACATTTGGGCTAATAATTCCACCTTAAAAGAACAATTCCCTAGGATTTATGCTTTATCGATTAACAAAACGGGGAAAGTTGTGGACTTTGGCTGCTATGATAATAATTGTTGGAGTTGGAATATTTGTCTGAGGAGGAATTTATGTGATTGGGAATTGGATCAATGGATATCGCTAATGACTTTGATTGATAATATTGTCTTGATTGATGCTGTTGATGACTTCCTAATTTGGTCAGGGAGTGGAGATGGTTTGTTCTCAGTTAAGGCCTGTAGATCAGCTCTAATTCGAAGCTCTGGAGGAAATTTTCAGTGGAAGAAATGGGTTTGGTCTGGATTGGCTCCCCCAAAAGTTGAAACATTTTTATGGCAATTATCTCACCAAAAATTAGCTGTTAGAGTGGAATTGAAGAAAAGAGGTATTCCTTTGGAAGAGTTATTATGTCCTTTATGCCAAAAGGAGGAAGAAACAATTCATCATTTATTTATGTTTTGTCCTGTCGCTTGGGAGTTGTGGAATTTGTTCATCAATTTATGGGAGGTTAATACTGTTCTGCCCAAAGATCCCCCGTCTCTACTTAGTTCATGGTCTGATTTGAAGGCTTCTTCTTCTATTTGGAATTTCATCCCGGGTGTTGTTATGTGGACGATTTGGAAGGCTAGGAACTTAGTGGTGTTTGAAAAATGGAATTTTGAGAGATCTACATTGTTCTTCATTTGCAGATTCAGGCTGGCCAAATGGTTTCTAGCTAAATTTCCTGAAGCTAACATCCAGGTAGATCTATTAATAGGAGATCCAAGGCTTGCAGATGGTTTAGCAGTCAATTTTCAGAAGAAGAAGAAGGATCTGTGCTGGTATTCACCTCCACCTGATTTTTATAAATTCAATGTGGATGGGGCTGTTAGAAGTGATGGTTTGCAGGGTGGAATCGGAGGTCTGTTGAGAGATTCGAATGGCTCTACCGTGATCTATTTCTCTAAGCCTGTCGGGCCTGGTCCTCCTCTGTTTGCTGAGTTGAAAGCCATTAAAGAAGGAATTGATCTATTTCTACATTCGGACTGGGCGTCGAAGGGAAGACTTATTCTCGAAAGTGATTGTAAGACTGCAGTGGATTGGATTTTCAGGCCTACTGAGGCTCCTTCGTTCTTCAGTTCTTTGGTTCGGGAAATTGGGGATGTAATTTCGGGTAGGGATATTATGGTTAGGTTGATTCCTAGGGCTTGTAATTGGGAGGCGGACAAGTTAGCTAAGGAGGGGATAGGTTGAATGTCCTTACTGTTAGCGGTTATGTTTGGGATTTTAATTCGGGTGATGTTGTAAGTTATAGTTTTATGTAATTCGGGTTTACTAATATATTGAGGTACTCTTTTCCTCCTTCCGCTAGTTGCCTCTTCTCAAGAGGCAACTATGAGGGAGGTTTTTAATGAGACCTCCTATTCCTATCAAAAAAAATAAAAAGGTATTTATATTCATATTTTTTTCATCTATTAATTATGGCATCCATCAATTTTTTTTTGTTTTGATGTATTTTCTTTATTTCCCTTTAAATTAGATAAAAGAGTATATATTTATTTATATCTACGCTATTATTACGAGTCAAGTGACATCAATTCAGTTGAAAATTTTACGAAAAGAAAACCAAAATTTAAAACAATTATAAAATATTATTATAAGAGTTTTTAATTATATCTTTTATTATCTTTATATAATATTCAAAAAGAATTTATGACTTTCTAAAAAATATATTTTTTTGAATGATAATTATTAATTAAGAAAGAATTATTCATGATGGAATATGAAACATGAGTTTTATATATTTGCAGGTTTCGTGTCCTGCCTTGGAAGAGTTGGAGTTGAACTCAATCTATGGCATTGAGAAAATATGGCATATTGATGATCAACTTCCATTAATGTCTTTTGGTGTTCAAAGTTTAACAATTTTGAAAGTGGCGAATTGCCATAAGTTGAAGTATGTATTTACTTCATCCATGGTTAAAAGCTTTGTGCATCTGAAAACACTTGAGGTTTATGATTGTGATAAAATGGAATGGGTAATAGAGGGAATACTAGAGGCAACCGAAGAAGAAAGGATTAACGGCAGCATAAGTGTGTTCCCTAAACTTGACATTTTGGTACTCAATTCTCTTCCAAAACTAAAAGGATTTTGCTTTGGAATTAATCCGATTGAGTTTCCCTCGCTAAGGGATTTAAAAATATGGGGCAGAGCAACAGTACCATATATCTTCCATGAAAAGGTATGCATAAAGATATAGATATTTCCTATCTGTAAAATCGCATGCATTTTATTTACTCATCTTCCAACTTTTTCTTTGAAAGACGATATTGAAAGTTAATATGTAAGAAGTTTTCACTTTTAGTTAAATTTATTTAATATGTAAGAGTTAAAAGTTAAAAGAATGGAAAATATAAAACATGATGTGCATAGCTGTAGCAATAAGTTATTTTCTGAACTTGAATTCTTCTGGTGTTATGTTTTCTTTTATTTTATATGAAATATTTTTTTCCATGAAATATTTTTTTCCAGTATGAATTACTTTTTTAGTATTGAACTCTTTCAATTTTGAGCAAGGCATCCTATGCTTGTGTTGTTAACGAAACAATGGGGAATTGTGCAGTGTACGTTTCCAAATCTACATCAACTCACTTTGGGAGGGAATGCTGGACTGAAAGACATCATATGTCATTGCGACGGCCAACAACAACAGCAACATATGTCTCATCACTTTGGCAACCTAAAAGTCATCACACTTGAGGGGTATCATAAGCAATTATTGCCATCTTACTTGTTCTGGTTATTAGCCTTACCCAATCATCAAACACTCGAAATAAGCTTTTCTTATTTCAAAGAGATGGTAATCCAAAGTGAAGAAGGTGGTGAGGAAAAGCCTGCATCGCTGTTACTCTCTCAGATAACTGATTTAAGGCTTAGCTTTCTTCCGGCATTGATGCATCTATGGAAGGAAAAGGAAGGATTTCCAAATCTAAGGATTTTGCATGTTAAGCTCTGCCATACATTAAAAGGTAATCTAGTTCCATCCTCGGTATCTTTCCTAAATCTAGTGACCTTGAAAATAGATGGATGTGATGGAATCATAAAATTAATCACACATCCCACAGCCGAAAGTCTAGTGCAGCTCAAAGAAATGAGTATAATCAATTGCAAAAATATAGAAGAGATAATACAAGGTGGGGACGATGACGATGATGAAATCAGTTTCCCCCAACTCAACCGTTTGGAACTTGAAGATCTACCAAAGCTAGAAAACTTCTGCTCATCAGGGAATTATACCTTTTCATTCCCATCCTTGAAAAATATAGTTGTACAGTATTGCCCGAAGATGAAGATGTTCTCTCAAGGAGACTCAAACACTCCAATGTTGAACAAAGTACAATTACAGAAGTGGGGAGGAGAAGAAGTTCATTTGGAAGGCAGCCTTAATAGCACCATACAACAGCTATTCAGAGAAAAGGTATGTTTTCTCAAATGTCCTGTGACCATAACAGGATGCCATGTATTATTTAGAATTAAGACAACTGCTCATTATTCACACTACAGTGAGGTTGCTGACTATGATTGTACATGATAAGATAAGAAAATTGTATTAGATTCTGATTTTCACCTGGTGATCATAGCAGCGAGTCATGATCGAAGAATGTGAGAATTCTAAAGAAGACCAAAGCAAGCCTTCAACTTCTAACACCCAAGTGAGTCTAAATTCATTTTAATTTTTTCTTCTTTTCTTTATCGTAAATAATATTAATTTCTCTTGAGAATTATTAAATGTAAAATCTCATCGAAGAAATGGAAAATTCTATAAAAGATCAAGGCAGTTTTTCTACTTCTAACTCCAAATGACCTGAATCAAGTATGCACATCTATATTTATAATGCATATGGTTATTCTTAACTTCAATAAGAAAGGTTCTTTGATGGTTCTTTGATAGTGCTTTCTTCATCTTAGGTTCAAAAGTGCATGAATACTTAAAATTCTTATTTCCTTAATGTCTCACTTAATGTATCTTTGCAAAGTGAGGTACATATTATTTGTATTATGAGACACCTTGATTTTGTCATTGTAATAAGATTTCGTTTACCTGTATCACCTAATGTAGTGTTAATTTGTTGTAGGGCATTACTGAAACTGCTAGAGATGATTAGCCTAAAGTTTTTTAAGTTATTGAAGGATGCTTCACTTATACCTGTTGGAAACTAATAATAAATCTTTGGCCTTCAAAATTTTATGAGTTTATTTATACATTAATCACTTGACTTTCCCCTTATGATCACATATTGAAACATCATCTATCATCAATGTAACAGTGTATAGTAGCAGAAAACTAGTCGATCCGAGTGCAGCCCCTCCTATTTTTCTCTTCCTTGATTAAAGTTTGATGACTTGCGAAGAATGAATCAGTGTTTGAACAAGGATTTGATAAAACTTTATCCCTTCACCGGATTAAAGCCTCAAGGTTCTCTGTAATTCAATGTGGATAGGTGTCTGTTTTGTTTTCGGGTGCTCTTGGTGTGCTGAATACAACTACTGCTGAACTTCGAGCAATACAGATGGCTATGGAGGTTAAGAATGCTTTCAAGGGGTCAAAAGTGGTGCTACAACGAATGAAAAAGTTGCTGCTAATGTTGCAACTATTGCCTGTTCAAAAGGGTATTGGATGCTTATTATTTCCACTGTTGTTCTGGTTGAGCTGCTGCAATGATTGCCATAAGCCTTACTGTAACTGCACACAGAGCATGCTCCTTAAACATGCAACGAAAGCCATTTTAATTGTGAATATTCAATGTAGAACTTGTGGAATAATTTCTCATTATTAGTCATTGAAAAGCTATAAAGTGGAACTCTTAAATCTTTTACTCATTATTAGTCATTGAAAAGCTATAAAGTGGAACTCTTAAATCTTTTATCATCAATGTAACAGTGTATGGTAGCAAATAACCATTGTGTATCAATCCTAAAGATTCTTCATCTGTCGTCAGATTTCAGGCTAAACAATCTTACTATTTTAGGTTGTCATCTACTCTCAAGGTTTTATGTAGTTTAATATTGATGTCTTTTTTATTGTGCGATCGATTCTATTGTTGTTATTGTGTCGTATATTTTGACAATTGCATTGCATAATTTACATTAATTATAAATTAGACCGTTACTAGAATGTGTGTAAAATTTTGGACTGACTGTTGATCAAAGAAATGACTTCATTCTCACGTACCACTGCGTCTGCACTGTAAGGGGCTGTGTGATCTTCACCTCAAAGCTTTTGTTTTTGTTATTGCATATATACAATGAATCAGATGGATGCGAATCCATTACACAAGAAGAGTGTCTCACATTCGGCCATTCATACGAGTGGATTTAAAAAATTTAAAATTAGGGTCTAAACTTTCAATAATATTATTTTTAACAAAAATGGGTATACAAAAAGCTGTTTTTTTATAATAAAAAAATAACAGAAAGCGATCCGCTATTGTCGCGATTGACCGTTATCTGTTAAATTGAGGCAGCGATCCACCATTATTAGTGTGATCCCACTTCACAACGCTATTTTCCGCGATAGTGGTTTCGGACACACCACGACCGCGATATAGCGACCGCTATTCCGTTATTTTGCTGCTATTTGAATGCTTGGTTAAAAGTAGTAGTAATTGTTCTAAACTAATCAACGTCGTTATATATATATATATATATATATATATATATATATATCAAACACCTTCAAATAGCTCCTTTGCTTACAGGAGTCTACGAGAAGTCTACATCCTTCAGGTCAACTAAGTTGCATGGAGAACATCCTTAATAGACTCACGTGATCTACGAATAAAAATCTAAGAATCTGATATCTAGTTTTATTTTGCCCATTGACCTAATCATAATGACTCTATGCCTAACACTATCAATTAAAGTCACTGTAAATACTTCTCAACTACGATTGAGAAGGGACCTTCTGATCACTTCCTTCTCCTTCACCCATACATTCTTTAGTATGCCTTTATTTTTGTCATAAGAAAATATCGATCAACGGTCATTTATTTACTTACCACGACTTTTCGTCCAAACCAAAACAAATGAATTGCTAACGGACAACGTAATAAATTTATTTTCATCAACGTATATAAGCATCAAATTATTATGTCATTCAATTATTTATGAGAATTTATGATATAATTACATACAATATTAAAATTCAAAATTACAATCATATTAATTGACAAATTCGATGATATTTAATATAATTTACCCAAAAATATATTTAATATTACATATACTGCCTCGGGAAAAGTGTGTGACTTTGGGATCAATTTAGCACCGAACATCTTAGTGAAGTGGCGCCGCCTGCCCACCTCCCTCCTTGAAACCGAAACCTCTTAGTGGACCCCACTTTCCGGCCCAAACCTCCACGTTTTGACTGGCCCACTTGTCCTCCGAGTATCAACCCGAACCGATTCGCTTATAATCAAATAATTTCTCGCACGTACGAAGAACTTATATGCACGTGTCATTCGCGTTCTTCATACTCTGTACTTTTTTTGATCAAATTCATACTCTGTACTAACATTATTAAATGGGTACTCTCCCTGTCAAAGACTGTAACAACCGAATTTTTTTTTAATTAATTGGGTGAAATTTGAGGGTCAAATTAAAACTTTAGGCTTTTCCAATTTTTTTAAAATATTAATTAATATTAAATATATATATATATATTAAAAATAAAGAAATAAAATTTACTCGACGCCCCGTCCCTCAATTTAAAAAAATGTATTTATAAAAAATAAAAAAATTCTTTAACCCCGTCTTAATAAATTTTTTATTCCGCCCTGGGATTTACAAAATTAGGTACCTTGAATGCATGAAATGAGGAAATAGTACAAAATTGAAGAATTGCATATGATAAGTCCGGACTGACTCGCTGGACCAACTCGCGTCGTGGGTGAGTATTCAACAAAAAATTTATGTATACATAAAGCCTCGAACTCGAAATATCTGCTTACCACTTGAACCAACCACTGTTAATGAATATAAATATATTTTAACAATGCTATTACATTGTCTGCAAGCTTTTCTATAAATAAAAGTAAAATTTTCAAATCTATTAAAATTAGAATCAAATCTTTTAAAACAATTCAATAAAGACTTAGAATTTTCAAAATTTGTTAAGCCCTTTATTCAAAAGTTTTTAAAAACCAAACATTTATATAATCATATTTAAAAATATCAGATATTTATTCAACAGTTTTAAAATATTATAGGTTTTAAAATATTACACTATTATTTAAGTATTTGGCCTATAAAATTTCATATTATATAAAAAGGAGCATGACAAAACGACAAAAGCAAAATTAATTAAAATATTTTTATACAACATTATTAATAATATCCAAAATAAATAAATAAAGACAGTAACTCTTTCCTTACAAATCTGTACTATGTATGCAGGCTGTCACAACTTTTCTGCCTTTGAATTATTGTCCTCCCTTCCCAGGGCAGTTGAGATTTTTACTATTTTCCCCCACCATTTATGTGGTATTGGTGCCGGTAGATACAATTAATATAAAATAATATATAGATAAAAAGGGTAACTTTTGTTTATATAATATACTCAATTTATTATTTTTGTATCTATTATATGTTCGTATCAATTTAATTTTTAAAATTACATAGTTACATCATTTTATATCTTACCTCATACTTAAAACTCTAAATTAAGTGTTTTAAATTATAAATTAAGGTTAGGGTTTAGATGTTATATGGTTATGCTTTAGGTTTAAGGTTATCAATTTAGGGTTTTAAGTTAGGGATAGGATATAGAATGATGCAATTAAACAACTTTGAGAGTTAAATTTATGCTAAAATACGATAGGAACGAAAATGATAAATTAGGTCTAGTACATAGACAAAGGTGACCCTTAAACTTATAATATAATATACAAATAATGAATTTATAAAATAATAAAATAATAAATATAAAATTTATATATTTTTCTGTTCGTTTTATAATCTATGTTCAATATATATAGGTCGTACTTATTCCTTTCAACAATATCTAAAAGCGTAAATTTGAATAATCTCTTTTAGAATGTAATATAACATCATTATATTTAACACTTGTTAATATTATTTCGACATAAGTATATAAAAATTTAAAAATCATTGAAATTAAATTAATTATGATATAATAAAATATATAAATATGACAATACATGAATATAGTTGAATTATTAATTTATAGAAAAGGAAAGATGGTGTCATTTCATACCAAAACTCTATTAATAAACAACAAAGCAACAACTTAACGCATTGATTAAAAAAAATGCTATAAGTGAAGCCTATCACTTGATTTGTTTATTGAGTTTAATGAGATTTATATTTCATACCAAAGTTTGTCCTTGGAAATTCTCCATTGGTTCAAGGAGTTGGTGGTATGGGAAACATTTAATGGATCATTATTTAGGATTTTTTATTTTATGATTAAAATTCAGTCACGGATATAAAAATATTTTTTTGAAGGTGAGTATACATATATTAACAATATTAAGTTTTTGTATGAGTACGTAAAAGTTTAAGGTGAGTACAATCATTAAAATAGAAGACAAATAGAAATAAATTCATATTTCATGGTGAACAAGTGTCCACCGTAAACAAGACATAGATCCGCCACTGGATTGATTGATTGCATTTTGTTATAAAGCAAAGATTGATTATTATTAAATTGTTATGATTTGAATCATAATACTATAAATAAGGTTTATGATTTGAATCCTAGAGAGTTGTTCACATTATAAATTCATTTACTAAAGTTTATGATTTGAATCATAATATTATAAATAAAACAAATTAGATTATGAGAGTTGCTTAAATAATGAATCTTTATTTATACTTGATATGAATCAATCATATCAATGAATCAAATACTCTATTAAAAATAATTTCAAAGAATAAAAACCTAAACTAGCATGTATTATTATTATTTTATATGCACTAATTTCATTTTTCCCCTCACAATTTCATTTTTCTTTTCTTCTTCCTCTCAAAAGGTCTTTTCCATTGAATTAGATAAGAAAACCTAAAAATCTAAAGCTAATTTGATGTATTATTTATTTTTACTTTTATTTAATTTCAATTATATTCTTGTTATTACTACATGAACTTTATTTATTAATATAAAATATCTCTTTAATTATCAACAATAATTTGTTTTAGTAGGATGAGATACTATATTTCTTAAATAAAGTCAGAGATTTAAATTCTAACGTCTGTGAATAGAACAAACTGAATTGGAATGATCATCTCTATAACGAGCCTTTGTAAAATCCGATCTAGATAATTGGTCAATACATCAAATACTATCTATTAATTAAAAAAATGTTCTTTAATTATTATTAACAAAAACGCAAAAGTCAAATAGAAAACACATGCTGGTCTGGTCGTTGACGTGTACACATTAGTACATACGTACTTGAACTTATTTATTATTATTTGTTTTTCCCCCAAAAAATCAATGGAAAATTATGTTTCATCTTGAATTTCTAACACCTGGACTAAAAGTCTGAAACCGATATCGATATATATATATATATATTTGGAAGTAAGTATATGATCAGCATGCCAACGGTCCAACATAAAATATCACACTTCCATCTGTTGAAGGATTGCAATTGTCAAATGCATGCTAATTTGAACTTTGTGTGCATTTTTTGTAAAATTGGCAATATTGTGAGAATATCATGCATCTTATATTTAATTAAGTAAATGACACCTAAATAATTTTATTTTTAAAAACAACACTCTTTTAATTAAGATATGTTATGTAGAAGGTGTTTTTAGTAAGACGTTTTTTTATTGGTGTGACATATTTTTCAGATGAAGTTTCTAACGAAATAGATGAGAATAATGAGTTGATTTTTTTAAATAGAAAACGTAGCAACACGCACATGTGTCAAAGACATGTATTTGTGTGAGCATAAACATGAATTGACTGAATGACAATACACATATATATGTCTTGGTTTTATTCACTCAGTAATTACATATGTTTAGGAGATTATATTTAAACACTTCAATAATCTCATATATAAACAAGGTGTGATTTGTGAATCTCATGACTAAAACTTATTGATTTTCATATGTCAGAGACAGTTCTTAAATTTGATCAAACTCATAAGTACGACAATCATAAATAATTATTGAATTATAGAATATTCAGGATCTAAATATCTAAAATTATCCTTGACCGATGTAGATATGAGTTTAACCAAGTCTAAGAACTGTTTTTGAGAGCTCAAAAACAAGTAGTTTTGGCCATGAGATTTACAAATCACACATTATTTATATACGAAGTTTATTTTCAAGTGCTTAAATAACTTTTTAAATATACACTAATTAAGTGATTAAAGACAATCTCTATATGCGTACGTTGTTGCTACTGTTCAACTCGTGTATATAATATATATATTACTTTTTTTTTAATGAAAATCATATATTTTTCTAAAGTTTTTGCTCTTTATTCTTATTTATATGATTAGAAATAGCTTACAAATCACATCACTGGAAGCCATTCACAAAAATGAAATGTAAAAAGGAATGATTTAATGTGTTAATTTAAGGGTAATATTAGCATACAAGGGTTGTGCCAACTGTCGAATTTAATTTCATAGTACACTGAAAATGTGGTAGGCGCACATCATAGATAAAATAGTGGTCATATACGCTGGTTCATTAAAAGCAAGCCGAGTCGACTCAACTCCACCGAGCCAAGCCGGTCGGGACGTGCCATCTCGAATCCCACATGCCACAAATTGGTTCGCTGATGTCACTCATTGGACAAGCGGTGACGTCAAGACATCTAACTGGGCTACCATTGAAGGACACATGGTAGAATTATTGATACACTGATAACCCTAGCTTCTTCCTTCGTCTTCAATCTTCACGCCTTAAATGAGAGCGTTGTATACACTTCTCTACCGTCACTTCAACAACAACAACAACAAAACCCTATTCTCATATGCAATGGGATAAGAGGGAGGTAGAGTAGTAGGCTGCCCCCAACGCATGGTTAAGAGCATCTTCCGTGGAAGACATCCGGCAGTCAGAAAATTGAAGATAAAGATAAAATGCAATGTATGTATAAATAAATAAGTAAATACATATTTGAACAGTCTTCATATGTAGTCTTCATATCCGCGTCATGTAATGGGAAGTAATCCTTGCTAATAAATCCCTGCATAATAATTTCTACATATAGACAGAAACGTAAGACCCGACTAAAATTAAAAAGAAGAAACATGAAGAGAATGATACACAGAAGTCAACGATAGCAAGCTACGAGAAAGAATAAAGTCAAATGGGTTAAAACCTAGACTAAGGCAACACTAATCCGCTACCCTAGTTCTAAGCCTTCATTAATTTCAATGACAGAAACGTATAAAAAGTAGAAGTCATGAAAATTACTATAAAGACATTAAAAGAAGACAGAAATGTTACACCCTATGGATGTTACCCGCACTAATCGGTTACCCTGGTCTTAAGTCTCCATAATTTCCTATTAGAGGTCATGTCCTCGGTAAGGGTTAAATCCTTCAAATCAGATCTTAAGCAGTCTTCCCACTTCCGCCTTGGTCGTCATCTCCTTCTGGCACCGTCGACTGTAATTGACTCTACCCTCCTGACCGCATCCGACGGTTGTCGCCTAAGGACATGCCCAAACCACCGTAGTCTTCCCTCCCTCAATTTTTCGGATACAGGCACCACCCCTAAGGACATCCTAATAGCAGAGTTTGGTGTCATGTCCCACAGAGTCCTACCACATGCCTATCGAAGCATTCTCATTTCTGCGGCCTCCATCCTCCTTACGTGATCCTTCTTGATTGCCCAACATTCTGATCCATACAGCAGCGCTGGTCTTATTGCCATTCTATAAAATTTTCCCTTAAGTTTTTGAGGCACCTTCTTGTCACACAAAACTCCAGTAACTGCCCTCCACTTAAGCTATCCCGCCTTTATACGGTGTGTAACGTCATCATCTACACCCCCATCCTTATGTATCATAGACCCTAGGTACTTGAAACAATCCTTTGAGAGGAGAACGTGTCCTTCTATGCATACTTCTACATCTTAACCCCCATTCTCATTTCTGCGGCCTCCACCCCATCTCTACCGTCACTTCAGATTGAATATTTCTCATATTAACCCACGTTGCTAAATGTCATGTGGGTAAGAGTTGGCACAAGTGCAATTGAACCAACTTTGTTCGATTACAGCCTTTTCTATTATGGGTAATCAAACAACGTGGGTTAATACATCTACCTATTTGGTCAAATTGCATGTTAGCCCTTACAATTTTAAGAGTTGACGAATAACCCCATTTTTTTAACAAATCTGTTATGATTGTCTTGTTTAATCGGTGATAACTCCTCAAATGGATATAATAGAATCGTATTTCTAGTGTGCTTTACTATGTGGGCGTTAACATAGCTTGTTGTCTTTCTTCTAAGAGATTTTCGTAGCAGAAATTTAGGTTCTTTTTTATAGTATGCTAGTATTTAAGCGTGTTTGGTGTTATTTAATTTTTTATTTTTTCGTTATGTCTTTACTATGATTGTCGTCTTCAATCTTCGCTACCTAAAATAAATATTTCTCATATTAACAATACTAGACCGACTTCGAAGTTCAATAAATTCAATTAAAGATTTGAAAGGAGAGAATTGATGTTTATTTAAGAAATTATAAAAGAATTGAATTTATAAAAGAAAAGAGAACTAAATGGATAATTATTCAATTCTTGTTGAAAGTGGATGATTTCATTTATCACATGTACGAACCGAATTACCTCAGTAGTTAAAAGGAATAATTGTTATTCTTAGAGGTCATGAGTTTGAACACCATTAATTGTAGAGTATTAGAATGTTTATTGTTAAATAGTTGAGAATTTCTAAAACAAATACTACTACTTATAATTACGGTAGATTAATAAAAAATGATTTTATTCATCATTTAACTCTTACTCGAATGATACCCACCATTTATCACTATAAGATAAATCTTATCGTATGAGGTCAGTGGCTAAATTGATATAATATTAAAATATTAAAATTTAAATAAACGTGGACCCCATATCATCAGATGAGAGACACAAATGTGTTCAAATTGTTTGTAATGAATTAATTGATGAAGACCCCACCGTATGGAAGATGAAGACTAATCGACGAGGGGGGGACATGATTTAAATGTGTTCAAATTTGTTTTCTATTTCTTTCCCTCTCCACCATCTACCCCTCATAAGTTGCATGTCAAACCTATGCAACTTCTTAAATGTGTGTTTAAAGAGGGATTAAGTTGGTGTGATTTTAAAATATCAAGAGTAATCTTTTTAGAATTAGGATCAATTTGATAGAATGTGTAAGTTTTTGGACTAAAGTTGTTATTATACCAATACAAAATCACCGATTCTATTTAGTCATCGGTTAAATCTATCAATGGATGATCAAAACAAAAATAAAACATAACGTTTGATATGATTTTGTAAAAAAAATGATAGTTGGGTGACTAAAACATAAACGAGGTAATAAGTGGATGACTAATTGTGTAGTTTATATATATTCATATAAAACATGGTTGATTGCAATGGTTTTGCGTTGGATTGGTAGGGCTGTTCATGAAGGATCAAGTTTATCGATAAAGACCAACATAATAGAGATGAGAGACACAAATGGGATCAACTTGGTTGTAATGAATTAATGATGAAGACCCCACCATACGGAAGACAGAGACTAATAGACGAGGGGACATTATTTAAATAAACGTGGACCCTGTCTGGCTCTGTTAGTTGGACGACCAAGACTTGCTGTTTGTAAACAAATTATTGGAGGCATAATTGAAGTAAACATGTTGATGTAAGTATAGAAGAAATATCACTTTCCAATTTCATTGCTCTCTGTTCGCAATTTCACTTTGTTTTGTTCGTTGGCATAACAAGAAATCAATCTTAACTAAAGGAGGTATGCTTTCTTCAACTCACTGCTGATTCCCTATAGCTTTTTTTCATCTTTGATTATGATTATGCTATGTGTTTCCTTCTTCAATATGTTGTTGTTTTCTTCTGCAGCGAGTGTTCTTATCTTGAGGGTTTGCTTCCCAGTTGTTCTATAGTTTGTTCTGCTGCTTAGCAAATTTTCAAGGGAAAAAATGGGCTGTCTTTGTGACATTGTCGGATCTCTTGCTGGCAAAGCTGTTGAGTACGCTGTCGAGCCCACTGCACGACAACTTAGTTACTTATTCAAGCCCAGGAGCAAGTTTCAGAACCTTCGGAGAAAAGTTAAAGACCTGGAGGATGCAAGCGAAAGGGTGCAACAATCTGTTGAAGCGGCTAACAGGAAGGGGGAGGTGATTTTTAAGAATGTCCAAAGTTGGTTGGAAGCGGTGAAGGGGAAGATCTCCAAGGAGGCTGCAACACAATTGCAGAAGAATGAACAGAAAGCAATGAAGAGGTGTTTTGCTGGATTTTGCCCTGATTTCAAGTCTCGTTATCAACTTAGCAGGAAAGCGGACAAGGAGGCCGATGCTATAGCTCAGCTCTTGATCCAAAAGGAAAACTTTGATGGACTTTCCTACCTTCCTGCTCTTCAAGTGAGAGACATTATCAGACCTGTCAAAGAGTACGAGGCCTTCGAATCAAGAAGCCGCGCTTTCGATGAGGTCATGGCTGCATTGGAAGATGATACAGTTAGCATAATCGGAGTGCACGGTATGGGGGGTGTGGGTAAAACCACACTCGTCAAAGAGGTCGCTGGAAAAGCCAAGGAGAAACTGTCGTTCGATGAGGTGGTCTTTGTAGCTGTAACACAAACTCCTAACACAGAAAATCTTCAAAATGAGATCGCCAACAAATTAGTCATGAAATTAGACGACAACCCTAGCGTTGATGTCCGAGCAGCCCGGCTACGTGATCGACTGAAGGCCAAGAAAGTTCTTGTCATCTTGGATGATATTTGGAAAGAACAGGAAGTAGAAACACTTGGAATTCCTTCACCAGACCAACACAAGGGATGCAAGATCTTAATAACATCAAGGAGGTTTGACGTGTTAGAATCGATGGATTCTCATCCAAACATTTCAATTGGAACATTGAAAGAAGATGAAGCTTGGAACCTGTTCAAGAAACTGGCTGGTCATATTGTTGAAAGATCTGACGTACGGTCTATAGCAGTTGAGGTTGCTAAAAAATGTGCAGGACTGCCAATCGCTATTTCTACAATTGCAAAGGCTTTAAAGCCTAAAGAGAAGCTGTTTGAATGGAGGGATGCTTTGCAATGTTGTGTAATTAACAAATTTTCCATCTTTACTCCTTTTTTTCTCTTTGCAATGTTGTTTAATTAGCTGACCCTATTCCCATAGTAATGGGGTAAGAGGGATGTAGGGTAGGAGGCTGCCCCCAACACCAGGTTGAGAGCAACTTCCGTGGAAAACCTCCGGCAATCAGAATTATGAATTGCTCACCGTGGGACTCGATCCCACGACCACAAGGTTAAGAGCTCTACCAACTGAGTTAAGCGGGCAATTCAAAATTAGCTGACCCTATTCTCATATGTAATGGGGTAAGGGGAGGTAGGGTAGTAGGCTGCCTCCAACGTCAGGTTGAGTGCAGTTTCCTTAGAAGACCTCCAGCAGTCAAAATTATAAATTGCTCACCATGGGACTCGATCCCACGACCACAAGGTTAAGAGCCTTGAGCTCTACCAACTATGCTAGGCGGGCAATTCATGTAATTTATGTAACGAGGATTCGTGATATAGTCCAAATAAACCATCTTTGCATTTGTAAATATATATTTGTAGTGGAAGTATTTTTGGCAATGATGTATATTCATTCCTTTTTTTTCTCTGGTTTTGCAAAACCAAATTCCTTTTTACAAAAGGATGGCTTAATTGCCTATTAGTCCTTCATCCTTCCATTTCTCAAGCTTCAAAGTCCCAGTATAATGCAGTTTAGCAAGGGCAATCAGCGTAGTAGAGTAACTAAAACTATAATTAGACCAATTTTTAAGAATCCCAAAATAACACACATTGAACATTAATACAACTTACCCTGCGCTTAATATATCAGGATGAACATTGTATACCTTGGCAAAGACGAAAGGGACGATGCCTTATGGAAGAGCTGCCTGAAAACTCGAAACGATTCCGATCTCCGATTCAAAGTATACTTTTTTAAAGGTAGATATACAGTCACTGGAAACTGATATAACCTGCATGATAGCAATGCGGAGAACACCTCTTAATCCAACAGTGATCGAGGCAGCTGTCATGACACTCAAACACTCCAATGTTGCACAAAGTACGGTTACATGATTGAAGAATTGCAAAGCATATTTGGGAAGGCAGCCTTAACTGCACCATACAACACCTCTTCACACAAAAGGTATGTTTTCTTAAATTTCCTCTTTATTTACTATTTTACAAATTTGTAGTAATTGCCTTTACATTCCACTCCCTACAAACAATATATACGCATTCATTCACCATGTTAGTATAAATCTTATACAAATATAATGACAAATTAAAAATCCATCAATACAAGTTCGGATTATACTATCGGAGGACAAAATTACTCTAAATATATGTATTAGAAAATGTACGACTTGTACAAGTAGTATATTGTAACTCACATAGAATGTATAGATCTATGAGTGTACATTGTATCGTATAAAATTATATACTTCTGAATTTTCAATCACTTGTAAATATAATATTTTTTTAAGTTACTTTTACCAACAAATTGAAAATCCATTAGTACAGGTTCAGATTATATTAATAGAGGACCAAATGTACGATTTATACAAGTTGTGTATTGTAACTCACAGATTGCGTATGAACTTATACATGGTCATTTAATCAAATACAAACTATGAGTGTACATGATAACATAAAAATATATATTTCATTATGTTATTCACCTGGTGATTATAACAGCATGGTGATGATCGAGGAAGGTGAGAAATCTAAAGAAGATCAAAGCAAACCTTCTACTTCTAACACCCAGGTAAGCCTAAATACATATTAATTTATTCTTTTGCTTTTCACTGTCATAAATGATATTAATTTCTCTCGAGGATTATTAAATGTAGAATCTCAAAGAGGAAGTGGAACATTCCACAAAAAATCAAGGCAGTTCTTCAACTTCTAACTTCGAATGACCTGAATCAAGTAAGCAATATAATGCGGATAGTTATTGCTAGCTTCAATAAGATAGCCTCTTTGGTAATAATTTCTTCATCTTAGGTTCAAAAGTGCAGAAATACTTATAATTCTTATTTCCTTAGTGTCTCACTTGATTTGAGTTCATATTAATCACTTGAATTTTTCTCTTGTGGCATCATATTGAAACATATGTTACCATCAATGTAACAGTGTATGGTAGCAGAAAACAAATCGATCCAAATGCTGCCCCTTCAATTTTGCTCTGCCTTGATTGAAGTTTGATGGCTTGCCAAGAATGAATCGAAGGTTAAAAACATGGATTCGATAGAATTTGTAATTAACAAATTTTCCATCTTTAGAATATCGTTTGATTGGTTCTAATATTTGTGACGAATAGCACAGGTTGTGTGTGTCAAAGTATGCAATTTATGTTATGAAGACTTGTGATTTAACCTAAATAAATCATTTTTGTATTTGTAAATATATATTTGTAGTGAAAGTATTTTTGGGATTGTTGTGTACTCATTCCTTTATTTTTTTCTCTGGTTTTGCAAAATCAAGTTCCTTGGTTTATCCTTAGCCTCACATCTTCCCTTTCAGCTAGGAAGCTTGACCCTCCTTATCTTCGTCGGCCTCTTGCCGTTGTGAGGCAACGCTTCCTCTACCTTCGCTTTGTCCGTGTGCTTTTCCACATTTTTGTCGGAGTCAAGTTTCCGTGTTTATCCTCTAACTAGGTCATCTCCTGTCACCTTTCAGTATCTCTACCTCTTTAGCATCAGCGGTCAACTTCCGGTATGAGTTTTGCGGGCTCTGTCGGCTGGATGCACTTTGGAACTAAATACTAATCTTCTCCCAGGAAAACATGAACCAAGAGTTTCAAAATAGAACAAGAGTTTTAACCATGAACCAAGAGTTTCAGAACCATGAAAACCGAAAACACGGGATTTGTTCTCCTCGGCCATCTTGTTAATTGCCAGATGTAGTTAACCAGCATATATTAGAACATTAGAAATTATCATTGACCAGATCACACTATCCCAATCGCTAATATCTAAGGCTTGATCGATACTATGAAGAGACAACATGCTAGGAAAAAAAAGATAGTCACAAAAGATAATTAATGACAATTTAAAACCAGCAAAAGATAATTACAACATGATGTTCAAGACTCGGAAGCAACAACCTTGAACAGAGTGGCTAATGGAATTTACCTTCCAATATGGTAATATTACAAAATATTCAACTTTCACAGAAACCAACAACTTCCGGTATGAGTTTTGAGGGCTCTGTCGGCTGGATGCACTTCGGAACTAAATACTAATCTTCGCCAAGGTAAATACCAGACAACCCCATAACAAGCTGGTTTGTATTCCAAGGTAAAATGTAACTTTAAGCTGTTAATGGTTCCTAATACCAGGCATGTAACGATTTTTGCAACATTCATAGATGCTTTTTTTGCCATACTACTTGTAATTTATTAGTTTACCCGCAAACATTATTACCGATTATTCATGTATGCTAGTTTAGGGGTTAACTTGTATAGCTAATTGTACCTTTTATACATGACTAGGACATTTTAAAAAAGTTTAGCTTATTATTAATTAGTACTTTCTTCTTTTCCAAGTATTTGGCTTTCTTTTTCATTTTAATAGAGTTTTGCATTTAACTACATCCGTATGTGTTATTTTAGCTTTAGTTAGGTTTTGGATGATGAATATTTCACTGCCATGACATCCCTATATTTTATCAAAAAAGTACCCACCAGCAGCTTGATGGAACATTGTAAAGATAAAAGAAGAAGAAAACTCAACCGACCTCTTTCTGAAGCTTTGCTTGGAATAGAGATTTCTCTCGAATTTGAGCTCTGAGAGCATGAAGTTCATGCTCCATATCCATCACCTGAAAACATGATGTATATTGCAATGAATATTTTAAAGATAAAAGAAAATCATATGAACAAAAATGGAGAGAAAATCCAAATTAGAAAATCAGCTGAAAAAGTGAGGTAACATACAGATTTTAGATTAGAATGTAAGTTAAAATGTGTGAAGAGCAGAGCAGAGAAGGAGAAGTTGAAGCTTAAGAGATGAACATGATGAAAGATTCTTTCTGTTTGTTGCAGCTGAAAGAAACTGCAAATGACCTGCTCAAAAACAAAGGGAAGAAGAAGAACAATAGCAACAACAACAACAACAAAGAGGAATAATCTGAAGAAGAAAGTAAAGGGGTATATTGGGTTGGTTTTGGAGGTCCTGGAGAAATGCTTTTCCTTCTTTTCCAACAGGGAAGACTCTGAAAAACAATAATAATAAAGAAAAGAAAGGGAAAAAGATGTGCCCAACTGTAATTGAGTTTGGATATTGATAATTCATTGCTTCTATGGAATATTACCATTTAAGCTCGATTCGATTAATTACATGATTTAAATATTTTATAATTGAGGAAGAGTTTGATCAAGTTAAACATTAAGATTCTTAAACTTACCTCGTTTTACAGCTCAAGGTTTGCTCAAGAATGATAGAATCAGATTTTATTTTATTTTTTTCAAAATGGTAACTTGATCATCTTACATGTCCTACTACCGACTATACTTGTTCAATGTTCATGGATCGAGCAACACTCTTAACTTGAGTTAAATTTGGATAAGATGTTTTAGACTTCGATTTAACACGACTAATTAATAATTTTACGAGTGTTATATTATATATGTGATGATGATTTATAATGATTCAGACGATAAGAAATGAGATAACTAAGCTGATAATTTATGATTCATCTTTCTGAGTTAGATGAAGAGATTGATTATGTATCAAAGAGAAAAGAAGTAGGCTCTTAAAAAGAAGAGAGAGAATTCCTCAATTTTGGCCTACTCTGGTTTCAGAGATATTATATTATATATTTCGAATATTGACACTATTATTTTGCGATTGAGTTAGATGAAATGGGCAGTTCTGCGGTGCGGCGCCTTAGTATACGGTTAAAATAAGGTGGTGTCGGTTTTGTTATTATTTTAAATAACAAAACCGGTAAAAAATAACCGAAAACATCATTTTTTGACCGGTTCTAATTACATACATAGGTAAACGCGGTAAAAAAATCCAGTCAAAAAATGATGTTTTCGATAAAGCGCTACCTAAAACATCATTTTTTGACCGGATTTTTTTACCGCGTTTACCTATATAGGTAATTAAAATCGTAAAAAAAAAGATGTTTTTAGTCATTTTTTACCGATTTTATTATTTAAAATAATAATAAAACCGGTATGACCTTATTTTAGCCGTATATTAAGGCGCCGCACGTGAGATTTTCACGAAATGTTGGAGAGATTTGACCCAAATCATTGTCGTCATATTATACTTTTCTTGAATCAATTAAGTTATACAGGTTAGGAATGACCATGGGTCAAATCGGATTTTTAATCAATCTAAATATGATACCAATATTATATAATTTTATTTATCATTTTGATCTAATCTGAGATTAAAAAGTTTTACCTAACTCAAAATTCAACCTAATTTTTGAAATAGAATATTAAAATATAGGCTTAATTAAAAAAATAAGTGTACAAACTATATTGTTTCCTCAAAGTGGTGCCTAAACTTTATTTTTATTCATTCAGGTGCCTAACGTTACAAACCTTACCACTTTAGGTACTTCGACCGTAACGGCCGTTAAAAAAACTCCGTTAAGTGACACGTGTCTTGTTTTAGTCATTTTGATTTAAAAAATAAAAAAATGTTATTACATTTTAAGAAATCCCTAATTTCGTTAAAATTACAAAAAAAAATTCTCAAAACCCTAAAAATCTCTAAAATCAACCCCAAATCCATAACCCTACTAACTCCCTCGCCAACCACGACCACTGATTTCGTTGCCTCCCTTGACATCTCTTTTGTCAGCCATTGTAGCTCGTGTAGTCGTGGTTGCCATCAAAGACGCATGGGTGTCAGAATTTGAAAAGTTAAAATGGACGTCGGGTCACTAGGAGGAGTTAGGATCTGGGTTTTGGGTGTTGCGACGGCTTCTTCATGTCGTCAGGTGGCTGATCGGTCCGATGGAGGTTCGATCGATGGCGAACGACAGTGGCAGGCGTGGATTAGGGATTGGAATTAGTGTTTTCAAAGTTTTGAGGGTTTTTTAAGTTTTTTGAA